ACGCCATCCATTGTGCCAAACCAGCTAGGGCATGCCATTGGTATTTTAATAGGGATTGTGTTGAAGTGGTAGGTTGCTTTGGGTAGTATGGACATTTTAATCATATTAAATCTTCCAACTCATGAACAGGGTATATGCTTCCACTTGTTTGTATCTTTCTCTATTTCTTTTTTTTCAGTGTCATGGTTTAATCACAGGTATTTATTATGTTATCCAAGTTAGTCATGATAAATATATATTGAACACTTTAAATAACCATAGAAATGCATGAACAAAAGATTCTAACAAGTCTGATGCTCAAGGACCTTTCATTCAGCTTGGGAGACAGTATCTAGTATGGTTAAATGTATAACCAATGTATAGTGTGATTAGAGCATTAAACAACACAAGAGAAAACACAGTGGCCATGAAACTGAAGTGAACTTTAAGTGCAATATACACAGTTCATAGGAGAAAAAGATCACAATTGCTAAAAGTCCTTATGTCATTCATTTACTTACACGAACTCTTTAATTTAAAGGGAGGAAAAAAAAGTGCTCGTTTCTTGAATACTTTCAATTCTTTCAGGCTTTCTATACATTTTTTTTACACTTGATCTCATTTCCCATGCACAACTATATGAATTCAATGCTATTATTTCCATTTTAGAGACAAAGAAAGGGAAGCAAGAGTTAATCATTTACCTGCAGAGAGAGGACTGTAAGTAAGTGGTGCTATTATTTCCATTTTAGAGACAAAGAAAGGGAAGCAAGAGTTAACCACACCCCTCCCTGAAAACTTTTGGTGAGCGTAAAACTAGGTACTAAGCATATAATTATGAGAATAGTCCATGGGTTTGCAGGTTAGACATGAATATACATGCTGCCTGATTAGTATCTTCTAAACAAATATGGTATATCCTATTTCCTTTTCCACAGAACCTGAAGGATTTCGATGCCTTATTTATTTATTTATTTAAAATATGTTTTTATGGATTTTAAAGAGGGAGAGAGAGAAACAATGATGAAAGAGAATCAGCGATTGTCTGCTTCCTCCATGCTCCATATTGGGGATCAAGCCCACAACCCAGACATGTGCCCTGACCTGTAATGGAACTGAGCCACACCAGTGGGGCATTGATGCCATTTTTAAGTATAAGGGACTCAAACAATTTACAGAACTAGTAACTGATGCAAAGATGTTCCCATTTGAAGACCTTTGTCATGAGCCCCTCTATATACCCCACACCTGCCTATTTAAATTGTGCTCATAGGAGTGACTAAAAAAATGAGTATTTCCATTTGTCTGGATTTATCCTTTAAAGTGTGAAGAGAAAGATGTATTTCCTTGGCGTGTGTAGTATAATATCTTTGCACTCAGAGGTTGCTCAATAAAATTTGATGTTGGCTGAATAGGTGGTGGTGATGGTACCCAGAGTTGTTTTCTTTCAAGTCAAGACCATGGGCTTTTGACCAATTGTCAATGTAAGAAACTTTGAATCCTGTGAAGAATTTTTGTGGGTTTATTCGAGGCAAACTGTCAACAAATGCTGGGAAACAGAATCTCAATGGATTGTGATAATGCTCCAGAGAATAGCAGTTTTGCATCTTATTTTATACATTACAATCAACTGAGGAGATGCTGGTGGGTTACATGAAATCCATTGGTGATAGATTAGGAAGGTGGTAGAAAGCAAAGCAGGGAAACTTCTCAGATTGAATAAAAAGTAAAATGATAGTCACAGACTTCTTTGACTTAGGTGGGTGCAGGATAGTTAACAGTCAACAATTACCTATAGCAATGAGGGGATTTGTGGTCTCCACAGAGTGATGCCTGAGCTTTGAGGGGTCCTGAAAAAGAAAAATTATTTTGACATTGTAAGAATATGTTATCAAAGATGCAGAAAGATAATGGATCAGCTCAGGTAAGGTAAAGATTGACCTTTTTCAGGGAAGATGCTGGCCTAGGACAGTGGTCGGCAAACTGCGGCTCGCGAGCCACATGCGGCTCTTTGGCCCCTTGAGTGTGGCTCTTCCACAAAATACCACGTGTGGGCACGCGTACAGTGTGATTGAAACTTCGTGGCCCATGTGCAGAAGTCGGTTTTCGGCCTGAGTGAGTCTGTTTTGAAGAAGTACTGTTGATATTTGGCTCTGTTGACTAATGAGTTTGCCAACCACTGGCCTAGGACATGACTACTCACAATAAGCTGCTGTTGGTTTAAAAAGTTTTAATTTCAGACCATACTTTGTGGTTACTTTAGGTCTCTGAGTTTGCAAGGCCACCATGCAGGCTTCCCCTGAACTAGCCAAGTTAGCACGTGGCCCCCTTTCATCCACACAATCAAAAAGAAAACAAACGTGTTCTGTCAAACGCTAGAGAAAGCCCTGCAGTCAGTAAAAAAAGCCACTTAGTTTTCACTGGCCAGTGGTACTAAGTAGGTAGAGCGTAGGCCCATGCACCAAAGGGTCTTGGGTGTGATTCCTGGCCAAGGGCACATATCTGGGTGGCAGGTGTCATCCCTGGCTCCAGGGGCATGTGCGGGAGGCAGCCAATTGATGTGTCTTCTTACATGGATGTTTACCTGTCTGTCTGTCTGTCTCTCCCTCCCTCCCTTCTACTCTTTCTAAAAAGCAATGGGAAAAATATCCTCGGGTGAGGATTAACAAAAACTAAACATTTTAAAAAATCCACTTAATTTGAAATGCCAAACATTTTTCTTATAGCACCCTAGTCTCTGTTTAGGATGCTAAGACCAGAGAAATTTAGCGGTTCAACTGTTTTCTGTCATATTATAATGTTTAATACTCTATTGTCAGGTGATGGATCAGAGGGTAGGAGTTTACAAATCAGTCCCTAGGGTCTTTGCATTTCATCTTTCCAGGCAACCTGCAGTGATAGGCCTCCCTTAAGAAAACTAGTTCAAAAGCTAAGAAAACTTTGGCACAAAAAGAGAAAATATGAGCTAGGGCACTCGGCGGCTAATGAATAGAATGGCCCCACGTCATTCATATAGTTCATGTATGAGGAGACAAGAAGAAATCCTAAGTCTTCAGGCTGGATGTGGGCAACCTCTCCTGTGGCTCCATGCGCGGTATCCATCTAACCAGAACCTTGGCTGAGGTCGAGGAAGCACCCCGTAATGAGCTGGTGTGGGCTCATGGACACATGCAGGACTGGCCCTGGAAAGAACGCAACCTTGCATGGCCTCTGAGCAGCAAGAAGGGGCCCTGCTACCTCCTGAGGAAGAAGAGATTTTGGAGGCAAATCAGGAAAAGAAAATCCCAGGAGATATGATGAACAGAAAAGAGCATCAGGTCTGAAGAAGCAGTTCCTAGGACTTGTCCGGACCCATTGAAAAGTTCAGGACGCTCAGTCCTCATTCAGGAAGAGCCAGGCACACTAAAGCAAAAAATCCTTCTTACTCCTGAGAACAAGAAGTAAAATTACTTATTGCCTACCTCCCTCCAAAACTAAGCAAATTACAAGGAGAAAAAAAACATAAGAAAGCTATATGCTCATTTGGGCACAATCACAAGCAGATAACTGATGTAGCATATTGAAAAAGATGATAGCTTGTTTGTTGTTTTTTAAAGCTTAGCTTTTGATTTGACAGTTTTACGTTAAATGTCTTATCTTTGCGTATGCATTTACCTTGCAGAAAGGGATCATTATGATAAGAAAACGAATTGGTATTATTAACTACTAATACCACTTTTTATAAATGGATACAATGAACTCATAGAGTGGCAGCTTTTGCTGAAATTCTTCCTTCTCCTTTTTGAGCTTATTCTTATCTCTGACTGGAACTTGTGAACAGCTGTCTAGAATTGATGAGATGACCCCATTTGGGTCCCAATCAGCTCAGCAGGAGAGATTGTCATGCTTAGGAGCTGAGTGTCACTGATGTAGTAAAAGTAACAAACTAAAGTGCAGTCGAGGGAAAAACTCACAGGCTAACCCCTCTAAAGATTCCCTTTACACAGAGGAAATGTTAAAGTAATTACGAGAATAATAACTTATACATGTGGTTAAAACACTCAGTGTACTGAAAGTAGGGAGCTTTCTTCGAAGATTAGTTTGAATCATAATGTGCCAGAGGCTCCCCCTAAGTGTCCCCAAGCCTGTGTGTTCCCTCTCTGCCCCCATAAAGGGTAGAATTTGCCCCAACATATTACCTCACCCTTTGTACCCATGCAGAATGTCTTCCATCCAGAGGTTTCAGTGTTTCCACAAATGTAAATTAACAAGCCTCAGCATCACTTCTGTCCACAGAGATGGTTCATTTAAGTACCACAGAAATTCACCTAAATGGCCCTCTCAGGGTCACCTGACAAGTCCTTTGTGTCATCTGGTATTGGATATTCAAAGTGCAAAACTACTTGCACCCTCATTACGGTTCCAAATTTATTGCATCCTTAGCAAGTACCACTGGAAGGATAAATCATCTTTCATCCTGATCAAGGCTCCTACCACTTGGCCTTCCTCAGTCTCACTGAGCGACCACATTCCTTGGAAGCCAGACTTCAGCCCTCCTCTTTCTTATCTTATCTGCCCCCAAACCTAAGTGAGGACAGAACATGATGGTTTTTTAAGATGTTTTAGGAATCACTTTGATTAAATAAATAGTTGGCCATATATATTTTTATTCCCCAAACTCATTATTAATCCAGTGAACAAATATTGATTAAAAACTTACTGTGTTTCCTGCCACTCATGTGCTAGACACAGGGAAAACTTCAGTCATGCTCCTCCCTTCATGGGAAGGACAGACAGTAAACAAGAATCAGCCACACTGTGGTCAGTGCTATGAAGATGACAAACGTGATGGGCTGGGTGAGGCAGGTAGGAATGGATGGACCGGGGAAGCTCACTAAGCAGGTGATATTTGAACTGAGACCTGGAGCATGAGAGTAAGTCAGACTTTCCTTCCTTCCTTCCTTCCTTCCTTCCTTCCTTCCTTCCTTCCTTCCTTCCTTCCTTCCTTCCGTCCTTTCTTCCTTGCTTCCTTCTTTCCTTCCTTCCTTCCCTTCAGATTTTCATTTCTAATAAAGTATACATCAATCTTTAATATTCCGCATTATAAAAAAGCTCTTTTGTGGTCATTTTATTTTTCCTCAGGGTATAAGGATCATGGGACCAAAAAGAGAGAAAACCACTGTGGTCCATCCCCAACCATGATGAGTCCATTTCTTGCTCTGACCTCATAAGGCGCCATTGTGATGCGATTCAAAGCCAATCCTATATAAGGTTCTGGCTGAGTCCAGGAAGCTGTTGGGTTGTAGTGGTTGGTTGGATTGGTTGGTAGTAGTGGATTGTCGGATTTATTGGTTTTTTCTTTTTACCTCTTCCTTCTCCTCATTTTCCTGTTCCTCCTCCTCCTCCTCTTCCTCTTCCTCCTCCTCCTGCTCCCCTCCTACCACTTGTCCCCTTCAGGGGAACATTTAAATCACCATGTGTGATTTTTTTGAGGACACATCGGCCAGAGTGGAGTGGCTGTGTGGGAACTATGCCATCCTCGATGACATCGGGAGGGGCTCCTTTGGAGAAGTGAGACTGGCCCGCCACCTCCCTACCAACATGAAGGTGGCAGTGAAAATAGTCAACTGTGAAGATCCCGCAGACGTGGCCGAAGAGATATATTGTATGAAAGAATTAAACCACCCGAACATTGTAAAATTGTTCGAAGTGGTCAACACTGACCACCAGGTATACATATTTTTTTTTCGCTAAAAGTATTACAAAGGGTATTACATAAGTGTCCTTTTCCCCCCCCGCCCTTGACAAGCCCCTGCCCTCCCTTACCCCCCAGTGTCTTATGTCCATTAGTTATGGTTATATGGATGCATACAAGTCCTTCGGTTGATCTCTTACTCCCCTCCCTCCTGTCCCCCAACCCTCCCTGGCCTTCCCACTGCAGTCCGACAATCAGTTTGAGGCAGCTCTGCCTCTGTATCTATTATTGTTCAAAAGTTTGTAATGGTCTTAATTATCCATGAAAGAGTGAGATCATGTGGTATTTTTCCTTCATTGACTGGCTTGTTTCACTTAGCATAATGCTCTCCAGTTCCATCCATGCTGTTGCAAATGGTAAGAGTTCCTTCTTTTTAACAGCAGCATAGTATTCCATCGTGTAGATGTACCACAGTTTTCTAATCCATTCATCTACTGATGGGCACTTAGGCTGTTTCCAGATCTTAGCTATGGTGAATTGTGCTGCTATGAACATCTGGGTGCATATATCCTTTCTGATTGGTGTTTCTGGTTTCTTGGGATATATTCCTAGAAGTGGGATCACAGGGTCAAATGGGAGTTCCATTTCCAATTTTTTGAGGAACCTCCATACTGCCTTCCATAGTGGTTGCACCAGTCTGCATTCCCACCAGCAGTGCACAAGTGTTCCTTTTTCTCCACATCCTCTCCAGCACTTGTCGTTTGTTGATTTGTTGATGATGGCCATTCTGACAGGTGTGAGATGGTACCTCATTGTTGTTTTGATTTGCATCTCTCGGATGATTAGTGACTTTGAGCATGTTTTCATATGTCTCTTGGCTTTCTGAATGTCCTCTTTTGAAAGGTGTCTATTTAGATCCTTTGCCCATTTTTTGATTGGATTGTTTATCTTCTTTTTGTTAAGTTGTGTGAGTTCCCTATAAATTTTGGAGATTAAGCCCTTATCAGATATGACGTTGGCAAATATGTTTTCCCAGGAGGTGGGTTTTCTTGTTGTTTTGTTGATGGTTTCTTTTGCTGTGCAGAAGCTTTTTATTTTGATGTAGTCCCATTTGTTCAGTTTCTCTTTAGTTTCAACTGCCCTAGGAGCTGTATCAGTGAAGAAATTGTTTTGGCATATGTCTGAGATTTTGTTGCCTTTGTATTCTTCTAGAATTTTTAGGGTTTCCTGTCGTACATTTAAGTCCTTTATCCATTTTGAGTTTATTCTTGTGTATGGTGTAAGTTGGTGGTCTAGTTTCATTTTCTTGCATATATCTGTCCAATTTTCCCAACACCATTTATTGAAGAGACTATCTTGGCTCCATTGTATGTTCATGCCTCCTTTGTCAAAAATTAATTGAGCATATTGGTTCGGGCTAATTTCTGGACTCTCTATTCTATTCCACTGATCTATATGTCTGTTCTTGTGCCAGTACCAGGCAGTTTTGAGAACAGTGGCTTTGTAATACAGCTTGATATCTGGCATTGAGATCCCACCTACTTTGTTCTTTCTCAGGATCGCTGCAGCTATTTGGGGTCTTTTTTTATTCCAGATGAATTTTTGGAGAGTTTGTTCTAGATCTTTGAAGAAGGCCATTGGTATTTTAATGGGAAGTGCGTTGAATTTATAGATTGCTTTGGGTAGTTATGGACATTTTAATGATGTTGATTCTACCAATCCAACAACATGGTATGTTCTTCCATCTGTTTATGTCTTCCTCTATCTCTTTTTTCAACGTCCTGTAGTTTTCTGAGTAGAGGTCTTTAACCTCTTTAGTTAAGTTTATTCCTAGGTATCTTAATTTTTTTGGTGCGATGGTAAATGGGATTGTTTTTCTAATCTCTCTTTCTGAAAGTTCACTGTTGGTGTATAGAAATGCCTCAGATTTCTTGGGGTTAATTTTGTATCCTGCTACATTGCCAAATTCATGTATTAAGTCTAGTAGCTTTTTGATGGAGTCTCTAGGGTTTTGTATGTATAATATCATGTCATCTGCAAATAAGGACAGTTTTACTTCCTCTTTTCCAATTTGGATGCCTTTTATTTCTTCTTCTTGCCTAATTGCAATGGCTAATACTTCCAGTACTATGTTGAACAGGAGTGGCGAGAGTGGGCATCCCTGTCTTGTTCCCGTTCTTAGGGGAAATGGTGTTAGTTTTTGTCCATTGAGTATGATGTTGGCTGTGGGCCTGTCATATATGGCTTTTATTATGTTGAGGTATGATCCTTCTATTCCCACCATGCTGAGAGTTTTTATCAAAAATGGGTGTTGGATTTTGTCGAATGCTTTTTCTGCATCAATTGATATGACCATGTGGTTTTTTTCTTTCAATTTGTTTATGTGATGTATCACGTTTATTGATTTACGGATGTTGTACCATCCTTGCATCCCTGGGATAAATCCTACTTGGTCATGGTGTATGATCCTTCTGATGTACTGCTGGATCCGATTTGCTAAGATTTTGTTGAGGATTTTGGCATCTATGTTCATGAGGGATATTGGCCTGTAATTCTCTTTCATTGTGTTGTCTTTACCTGGTTTTGGAATTAGGGTGATGCTAGCTTCATAGAATGTGTTTGGAAGTGTTCCTTCCTCTTGAACTTTTTGTAGTAGTCTGAGGAGGATAGGTTTTAGTTCTTCCTTGAAAGTTTGGTAAAACTCCCCTGAGAAGCCGTCCGGTCCTGGGCTTTTGTTTGCTGGAAGCTTTTTGATAACTGCTTCAATTTCTTCCATAGTTATTGGCCTATTGAGATTTTTAGATTCTTCCTGATTGAGTTTTGGAATGTTGTATTTTTCTAGGAATTTGTCCATTTCCTCCAGGTTGTCTAGTTTGTTGGAGTAGAGTTGCCCGTAGTATTGTTTAACAATCATTTGTATTTCTGTGGGGTCTGTTGTTATTTCGCCTCTATCGTTTCTGATGTGGTTTATTTGGGACCTCTCTCTTTGCTTCTTGGTGAGCCTGGCTAGGGGTTTGTCAATCTTGTTTATCCTTTCAAAGAACCAGCTCTTGGTTTCATTGATTTTCTGTATTGTTTTTTTGGTCTCTATTTCATTGATTTCTGCTCTGATCTTTATTATCTCCTTCCTTCTGCTCACTCTGGGGTTTTCTTGTTGCTCTCTTTCTAATTCTTTGAGTTGTAGAGTTAGATGATTAACTACCATTTTTTCTTGTTTTTTGAGATAGGCCTGTAGAGCTATAAACTTCCCTCTCAGGACTGCTTTCATTGTGTCCCAGAGGTTTTGGATTGTTGTGTTTTCATTGTCATTAGTGTCCAGGATGTTTTTAATTTCTTCTTTGATGTCATTGGTAACCCAATCAATATTTAATAACATGCTATTCAGCTTCCAAGTGTTTGAGTATTTTGGGTTGTTTTTATTGTAGTTTATTTCTAACATTATGCCATCGTGGTCTGAGAAGATGCTTTTTATGATTTCAATCTTCTTGAATTTGTGGAGACTTTGCTTGTGACCCAATATGTGGTCTATTTTTGAATATGTCCCATGAGCACCTGAGAGGAATGTATATTCCGCAGCTTTGGGGTGAAGTGTTCTGAAGATGTCAATTAAGTCCATCTGATCAAGTGAGTCATTTAGGATTGCTGTTTCTTTGCTGAGGTTTTGTCTAGCGGATTTATCCAGTGATGTCAGTGGTGTATTAAAGTCCCCTACTATGATTGTATTGTTGTCGATCTCTCCCCTGATATCTTCCAGAAGTTTTCTTATGTATGTGGGTGCTCCTGCATTGGGTGCATATATGTTTACCAGGGTTATATCTTCTTGTTGTATTGATCCCTTTAGTATTATGAAGTGGCCTTCCTTATCTCTGGTTATGGCCTTCACTTTGAGATGTATTTTGTCCGATATAAGTATTGCTACCCCAGCTTTCTTTTCCTTTCCATTTGCGTGAAAGATATTTTTCCATCCCTTCACTTTCAGTCTGTGTGAGTCCCTTCTAATGAGGTGGGTCTCTTGTAGACAGCAGATGTATGGGTCATGTTTTTTTATCCATTCAGCCACTCGATGTCTTTTGGTTGGAGCATTTAGTCCATTTGCATTTAAAGTTATTATTGAAAGGTACTTGTTTGTAGCCATTTCTTTTTTTGTGTGTGGCTGTTTTCTTTCTGAGCTTGATATTTCTTCTTTTTACACCAGTCCCTTTAGCATTTCTTGCATGGCTGGCTTGGTGGTGATAAACTCCCTTAGCCCTTTTTTGTCTGTGAAGCTTCTTATTTCCCCTTCAATTTTGAATGATAGCCTTGCTGGATAGAGTATTCTTGGATTCAGTCCTTTGCTTTGCATCACTTTGTAGATTTCCGTCCATTCTTTTCTGGCCTGATGTGTTTCTGTTGAGAAATCATTTGATAATCTAATGGGAGATTCCTTGTATGTTACTTTCTGTCTCTCTCTTGCAGCCTGTAAGATTCTCTCTTTATCCTGAACATTTGCCATGGTAATTATGATGTGTCTTGGTGTGGGTCTTTTCGGGTTCACCTTGTTTGGGACTCTCTGGGCTTGTGTGACTTTTTTCTTCCCCACCTCAGGGAAGTTTTCTGATATTATTTCTTCGAATAGGTTTTCTAATCCATGTTCATCTTTCTGTTGTTCTGGCACCCCTATTATTCGTATGTTGTTTCGTTTCATGTTGTCCCAAAGCTCCCTTAGGCTCTCCTCCTGTCTTTTAATTTTTTTCTCCATTTGCAGTACAGTTTGAGTGTGTTTTGCTTCCTTGTCTTCTAATTCACTAATTCGGTCCTCCGCTTCTCCCAGTCTACTGTTGATACTTTCAATGGTGTTTTTTTATTGCAGCTATGTCGCTCTTCATTTCTTCTTGGGACTTACTTAAGTTGTTGATTTTTTCATCTGTTTCTTCTTGCTTCTTGAACATCCGGTGCATGTACTCTAGGAACCTTATTCTGAATTCTTTTTCCGTCATGTTGCATATCTCTGTCTCACTTAGCTGCTTTTCTGGCGAGTCCCCCTTTTCTTTCCTTTGGGGGTTTCTTTGTCTACCCATGTTTGATCTCACTGACATGACTAGTTGTTGAGTCGTTCAGTGGCTGGACCCTGGGTGGCAGTGGCTGCTCCCTGGGTGGCAGTGGCTCCTCGGGCTGTGGTTGCTCCTTGGACGGTTGTGGTAGCAGCGGCTCCTCTGCTGATAGCAGAGCCTCTGGTGGGTGCTGTTCACAGCTGTGGTGGCTCTTCTGGCTGGTGGAGGGAGGCTTCACACACAGCAACTGTTCCCCAGGCAGAGCGTGTGGTGATCAGGAGGCCGCTGTTGCTTGAATCTGCTGCGTTGATTTAAAGGCACAAAATACAACACAACAAGGCACAACGTACCAGGCACTGAACACTATTGTATTTACGATATTACTAACCCCAAATAAAGGTGGCCACCCGAGCTAAGAGAGTTAGGAGATAGGGGGGAAAGAAGAGAAAAAGGTAGAAGAGAAAAAAGAAAGAAAGAAAAAAGGAGTGCAAAAATGAAATTGGAAAAAGGGAGGGGAAAAAAGAGGAGGAAAAAAAAAAGTAAGAGAGAAAAGAGAATGAAGTATAAAAGGGGAAGAGACTATTTATATGAGGAGAAAACTCCTATAGATCCGCCACTAATACCAACAAATTACAGCAACAGATTCCTGGAGATGAATACAAACTACAAACAACCAATAATATCAAGCGACGCAAGGGAAAACAGAAGCACAGAAATAACCGGGGCGAGAGGGAGAGGGAGGGGCAGGAAAATAAAAAAAAATAAGCAGTCTAACCTCACAAACAATCCTAAGGAAAAAAAAAAACCCCAATATACTCGTCAATCAAGCAAACAAAAATAAAACAATAGAGAGAGAAAAGAAGAAGAAGAAGAAGAAAGAAATAAATAAATAAATAAATAAAATAAAATAAAAAAAATAAAAAATAAAAAATTGGATAGTGAAGGAAGATAAGGGAAAGGTGTATAAGGATTTAGAACAGTGGATTGGACGTAGGATATATAAGTAGGGTGAAATTTTGACAGGGGGTAAAAAGAATAGGGAAAATCTAAAGCTGGAGTAGGGTAAGAGAAACAGGACAGCAAAAGGGAAAAAGTGGGGAAGATTGTTTAGCACAGAGGCAAATTGAGGTAGAGAAAAATGTTGCTAAAGGAACGATGAAAATAGAATGGAGAACATTAGTCCCAAAATAAAATAAAGACAAAATAAAATGACACTTTAAAAAATGGTAAAATGGTAGCGGCAATAATACTAGTTAAAAATAAAAATGTAGTAGCTGAAAGGGCAAAATCAGGTGATGGAGAAAAAGAAAAAAGAAAAAAAGAAAAAAATGTTTTCTTAGTTAAAAGGTGAAAAAGTAATTTAAAAAAAATAAAAATAAAAATGTGCATTAATGCAGGTGCTTCAGATCTTCTACTCTTCTTATTGGCACGCCCGGAATTCAGGAGAATGTTGAATTTCCCTCTGATACACTGTTCCTCCGTGTTGTAAGCCACAGTCCTGATTTTAAGGCCGGCCGTAAAATCCCCTTATTGCCTTATCTGTATTTACAGAAGAGTCAGTTCGTGGCTCTGCCTCTGGGTGGCAGTGTGTCTGGATTGACCTCCGAGGCTATAAGTTCTCTCTGACCAGGAGCTCTCTATTGTACCTGAACCAGCTCCGCCCAGAGCTGGTTCCCCAAGCGCCACTCCCAGGTCTGTTTCCCAGGCTCCCCAAAAACAATCTTCCCCTACAAGCTCTGCTAGTGACCCCAACTGGGCAATCACATGCACTGGGGTCAACAATCAAACTCACAGAAGTAAGAGTAAGTGTGTAAACAAGAGCCTGGGAAGCTGTGCGAACTCGCAAGGTTGCACCCTCCAGAACTGCTCGGAGTCTCTGCGCGCGCTCAAGCCCCTGGTGCCAAGTAGCCGGCTATCAGGGAAACTCTGAGGCAGCCCTTTTGCATCCAGTCCAACTATGGGCTTATTTATAGTGTTACCTTCTGCCAGCAGCCCTGCGGGAGCCCTCCCCACTTGCGGGTCACGCTGGCCTCTATGGGAGCGGATTTTGGGGGGCGCAGATTTCCCCCTGCGCCCGCGCGCGCATTCCTCGCTCCAACCTGAATTGCAAACCGCACCTTTGGGGTAAGTCTAACCTTTCCGTGGAGGGATGCAGGTCTCCTCTGGGCTCTTGCAGTCGCGCTGCTTTAGAGTCGTTGCCTCCGGGTTAGTAGCCAATCTCTGGATGCGGAAACAGCTACTCAAGACGGCGCGGTCTCGCCGCTGCGCTGGCGCCCAGGGGGAGGTTTCAGCCTCAATCTCTAACCATCCCCATTTTTTAGGAGTTCTCTGTCTTTCCTGGCTGCAGACTGTCTCTCAGCTGAGCCTCCTTAGCTTGATCGGGCTGATTGTTACCCGTTTCAGCTGCTCGCCCTTATCTTCTCCGGGACAAAGCACCAACACGTCCGTCTAAGCCTCTGCCATTTTTTTTTTTTCACCAGGTATACATATTTATGGAGTATGCCTACTCCGGCACTTTATACCAACACCTAAAGAGGTGGGGTCCTTTATCGGAGGAGGCAGCACGAGCCCCATTCCAGCAGCTGCTGTCGGCTGTGCACTATTGTCACCAGAAACATATCGTCCACCGGGACATAAAACCGGAAAACATCCTGCTGGACATGGGATTGAACATAAAGCTGGCTGACTTCGGGCTTAGTGGTGTGTTTAAGGATGAAAAACTCACCACGTTCTGTGGCACTCCCAACTATAAGGCCCCAGAATTGTTCAAGCTAGAAGCTTATGAAGGCCCGAAGGTGGACGTGTGGAGTATGGGGGTCGTGCTCTATAACATGCTGACTGGACTACGTCCATTTGTGGGCAAAACCTTAGAACAACTCAGGGAGCACATCTTGAGCGGGGACTTTTCTATTCCGTCTTTTCTATCTGTACCGTGCCACACACTGTTGAGGACCATGATCGACATCGACCCCGGCCGAAGACCCACCCTCGGAGTAATAATGAAAGACGTTTGGGTGAATACGGGGGAGGCAGAGGAAATGACACCCTACATCGAACCATCCTGTACTCACTTAGACCCCCAGGTAACTCAAATAATGAGGACACTGGGGTATGAACAGGAGGAAATAGAATCATCCCTGATGGGAAGAAAATTTAATAACATCATGGGCACTTACCGCATATTAAATATGAAACTTACCATCGGTGGCCGAACAATAAAAGTAAGTCCCATATCCTCTGACTCCAACAGAACACTCCGTACAACCCAGGGGACTTGGGGATCCTGGAAGAAAAGCAGAGAACCTCAGAATCCCCCACCGAGCCCAGAGTTCAGTGTGTCCACCACCACACCACCAGGGGCCCTGGATTGGAGTATTGCCACCCCTCCCATTAGAGTGGAGGTGAAGAGGATCGTCGTCCAGAAAGGCAGTGAGCACTTGGAGAACATCAGCCAGCCTGCCAGTGCGCACTTGGAGAACATCAGCCAGCCTGCCAGTGCGCACTTGGAGAACATCAGCCAGGCTGCCAGCGCGCACTTGGAGAACATCAGCCAGGCTGGCAGTGCGCGCTTGGAGAACATCAGCCAGCCTGCCAGCGCGCACTTGGAGAACATCAGCCAGGCTGGCAGTGCGCGCTTGGAGAACATCAGCCAGCCTGCCAGCGCGCACTTGGAGAACATCAGCCAGCCTGTCAGTGCGCACTTGGAGAACATCAGCCAGCCTGCCAGTGCGCACTTGGAGAACATCAGCCAGGCTGCCAGTGCGCACTTGGAGAACATCAGCCAGGCTGCCAGTGCGCACTTGGAGAACATCAGCCAGCCTGTCAGTGCGCACTTGCAGAAGACCAGCCAGGGTAGCAGTGCACACTTGGAAAAGAAGAGTCAGCCTGGCAGCGAACACTTGGAGAGTACTAGCCAGCTAGACACCAGGGACTTAAGGAATGAGAAACTGAGGCCAGCTCTCCAAGGTGACAATAAGGTTTCCCCTGTCACCCAGAGCAGCAGCAGCCCCAGAAGCTGTAGTGGAGGCACAGAGGTGAGAACCACTACCAACGGCCAAGCTGGGCCATCTTGTGAGGACAACCTGCAGTCTTCATCGCATCATACCCAGCGCCGAAAAGGGATGGCAAGAAGGGTTTTAGGATTTTTTAAAAGATTGCTGTGTTGCACTGGAGAAAATAAAAAACCCCGCGTGAAAATGACACGGGTGGTACCGAAATAATGTTCCAGCGTGGAGTGTCGGTGGCCACACTTCACCCAGCCACCATGAGGACAAGAGAGTTCACTTGGCCAGAGAGTAAGGAGAAGACAGGGAACTCATCAAAACATTGAGCGGGACAGTTCACCACCGCTCACTCGGCCAGATGCACGGAGAGGTCAGTTAACCGCAGCTCACTCAGTCAAACGCAAAGCAACCTCAGGACTTGATTTCTGGATAAGAAAAGAATTCAGAGCCAAGACCCAAACTCGCTAGAGAAAATTTATTTGAGCAAACAAAGAGTAAGTACACTCGAAGAGAAATTTCAAGCTGGGGGTGGGGGGTGGATGAGGTGGGGAGAGAGGGAGAAGGGGCTAGGATTCCTTTTTAAACCCTGGGAGGGGAATTAACTGCTTTCTTCTTCAAACTGACCTATCAGGGGCTGTTCTGTTTCTGTTCCTGCATAGAAGTTAGCCTCCAGCCCTCTCCCCCCGCCCCCTTGTTCTCTACAGGTGGGGGTCTACCACATCTACCACATGACAACCACACGCTGGAGGAGAAAAGGTCAGGAGAATCCCACCTGCATAACCGGAGGCATTCTAGGGGGGAGAGAAATCCCAAGGGCAAGGTTTTGAAGTGGATATTTCCAATATCTGCTCTACCAGTTCCTTTTCATCACTAGGTGTCCAGGGGGTTCTGCCCTGGTGACCTTCTGTAGCTGGCCCGTCGTCCTTGCTCTGCTCATGTCTGTCTAACTGCCTACAACTGAGGCTTAGGTGACAACCAGACATCATGCTGCCGGGAGGTGACAGAGAGAGGACTGGATCTCTAGGCTGTGATTCCTTTTTGGTGTGCTGGGATATTTTTAATCTCTCCTCCCTCTCCCCACCACCTGCAACTCCTAGGTGACGAGAGAATTTAGGTACATTTCATTTTGGTATTTGGGATGTGGGAAGAGCGGACAATGGATGTATTTTGGCACTTCACAATTGTCCAGAAGAATGGTTAAAGAAATCCCTTTTCTCATCTCCCCCCGCAATGCACTTTGTGAGTGTTCCATTTAAGAAAAGAAGTGCAATTACATGGGAAGGATTAGCACAAAACCCCTTGCTATTATTTAACCTGAAAGAACGATGAGCCTCGGGCAAGTCCTGGGGTAGGTAGGATTAAGTGCTGTGTTACACTGAGCCTGCTTTGACTCAAAGCTCAAAGTCTGTTGTCAAGGATTTGGCTGTGCGTGTGCCTACTATTGGTATCTGCCTATTCAGGTCTTGGAGTACAGCTGGGTAAAGGTGACAGCTGACCAGATTAGGCAGCTGACTTCAGAAGGTCACAGAGGTCAGTGATCCAGCAGGGTGGGGATGTCAGCGCTGAAGTAGTTGACCCATTCTCGTCACCTAGCATGGGGAGATGGTATAAGCCCTTCTCGCCAAGTGTCATTGGGATTTATTTCTGAAAGCACCTAGCTCCATGTACATGGTAGGTGGACAATCAGTGTTGGTTGAACTTGCATATGGGAGCCAGAATGTGTATCTGGGGGGTAAAAGTCAATAGACTCCTTGCTCAGGAGTGAGCCGAAGTTCTGAGAATCAGGAAACCTACAAGTGTGCACAAGGAACTGAGTCTCAAGGGTCAGAGCAGGCAAAGTCCCTGGAATGGGGCCCCTGTGACAGAGATGCAGATGTGGGCATGAGCTTTGGGCAGGGTCTATTTGTCCCTTGATTGTTTTCCTGCTTTCTGGTGGATTTTGGTGGCCTTGGCCATCAAGTGGATTCAGGCCATTGCAACCAAGTGACCCTTATCTGTATTTGTACTCAAAGAGACAGTTATCTGTATTTATGCTCATCTCACAGGGGACATTGTGGCAGAACAGCTGGGAGGGCTGGATTTGAAGCCCTGCAGACATGCCCTTGAACCCTGATTGTGGTGATTTGGCCCAGTACATCAATTGACTTGAATCTCTACTTCTTTACCTATAGAATGGGAATGTTAATAGTTAGCCCACAGTATTGAAATAAGAAAATGCATGTACAACACTTAGCATACAGCTTTACATGAATTAAACCATCAATAAATGGTAGCAAGTGATATTACAGAAATGCTCTCACACGAAGTTGGTGGGATGGGGAAGAACTGTTATTGTGCAGTGCTTTGGAGTGTCATCTCTAGAGTCAGATACTTCGGCTGAAATCTTAGTTGCATCACGCACCAGCTGTGTGACCATGAGCAAGTTGCTTAGTCTCTCCGTGCCTCTCTATTTTCACTTGTAGAATTGAGGCAGTAATTGTACTGACTTTCTAGGATTGTTGTGAAGATTAATTTATAATTAAAAACAAAACAAAACTAAAAGCTTGACCATAGTTGCTTGCACACAGCAAGCACTCAGAAGGGATAAGCTCTGTCATTAATGGCTAATTATTACCAATAATGATGGAGAAATTAAAGAGGAGCATGAAAATAGAATGTCATGCTGTGTGGTGTGGTAAGGTTTTCACCGCTGGAAGTATTCAGCTGGAAAGTAGCTTAGTGGGCTGTGGTTTTGGGGATTCGGGTGCTGGGAGGATGAAGATCTTAGGCAACCACTATTCTCCTTCCTACATTAAACAGGAAGCACGGTATGATGGCTGCTTATGTTCAAATCCTGACACTGTCACTAGCTGTGTGACCCTGGGCAAGTTAGTTTACTTCTCTGTGCCTCAGGTAGACCACTCTCCTGCAAAATGGGGTGATTATTACAGTTCCTATCTCATATGGTTGTTATGAAGATTAAAAGGCTTCATACTCAAAGAGTGCTTAGAATGGTACTTAATTCCAAACCTGAGAATCTTTCTCTCCAACCTCTATTCCTTTTTTTCTGCTTTCCTTTTATCCTTTTTCTCTCTTTCTTCCTCTCAAAATAGGAGCCACTGTGGGTCCCAGTGGCTTTGGAACTTTCTTTAAGCCCTGCCCCTCAAACTGTGTCATGACGGGAGGGGTGACTTTGCATTGTAAGTTGTTTGTTCTGGGACCTGCTCTTCAGTCTGTGGAGAACATATTTCAGCTACAATCTGTCAGCCTGGGAATGAGCGTTTGCTAATGAGGCTCCCGACAGACACGTTACATTTACGGGGATGACAAACGCCACTACTTGGCTGTGCTTGACTCATTTCAAAGGCCAGTGGGCTCATCACAGTCATCAGTACTTGCTACACCGAGGTTCATTTTGTCTGAGGCCTGGGTGCAACTTGGATTTGTGTTAATTGTATCATTTGATATTCCTGCAAAAAGAAGAATCTTTTAAACATCTTTTTACCCATCTCTGAACTTGCCTGTTTTGTAATGACTAACTTTTGCAGATCATAGTTAGATGTCATTTGCTGCTGTTAGAACTGGGATATTATTTTAGGATGTTTGCCAAACTCCCTTAGCCTTTGCATGTCCTTGAGGCCGAGGCTGAAACATGCACATGGACACGGCACCCAGCAGGTGATGGAGATAAGGGAGGGGCTGGGTGGCTGCCAGTGAGCTGGAGGCACCTGCTCTTTCTCAGAGACCAGCTGCTCCTCCCCACCAGCCAGCTGTGGCCATGGGAGGGCGCTGGCCATCTCTGCTGGAACCTCCTGTTTTTTTCAAAAGAAGGAGGAGACTTGCTTTTATGTGACATTCCTGTATTTGTAGATGTTTTTTGGAGATGGAGATCTTGGCAACGAACAGCTGGTTGAAGCCCAGGGGCTTCCCGACTTGATTTGTATCTAAGAGATTGCAGGAGTTTCTTTGCTAGTTAAAAACAAACACACACACACACACACACACACACACACACACACACACACACCAACAAAAATACCAGCAATAGACTTGTGAGAATAGATGAGAGACCTGTTTCTTTGTTTTCTCTTTGCAGACTGGTATAGGGGATACCTCCTAAAGCACAAAATGTTACAGGTAAGATGAATTTGTTCTGATTTGGGACAATACTGGGTATCTTTACCTGCCATTCCTTAGCAAACAGGTTCCACCCCTCCCTCCTTGTGTCCTGTGCTTTCCCACCTCTACAACTTGGTACTCAGGAGCCTCAACTTCCCCTTTCACTCATTCTTCAAGGCCAACCTGCAGAGCCCTCTCCTCCCTGAAACTTTTCCCAATATGCCAGTCATATCTGATTTCTCCCTTCCTTGATCCCCATGGTACTGTGCATTTTTTATTTGAAATTGATCTACTGCTTTCCTGTAGAGTGCTTCGGGCATTCATAATTTCCTCACCTCTGTATCGCCATGACAGAGAAGAGACAGGGCTGGCGAGTTTCCTTGTTCCAGCCTCACATTACACCGTATTCGTCTCCACGAGAGCGGGTGCCTGCTTTGCTCCTCTACACACCTCTCACAGTGTCTAGTGCAGTGGCAGATGCCCCTACTGTGCCTATTGGTTGAATTTAGGAAGGAATTTCCGAGTAATTGACAAACTGTTATTATTAATTGAGCCAAGCTTTTGGAGGAAGGAAATAACAATAGATGCTTCTTCCTTCCTCCCTGACAGTGGTGTGTTGGGAGGCATGAGCCTACTTTGCTCTCTAAAGAGCAATCAAATAAAACCAGGGAGAAAAGGACCTCAAATCAAACGAGTCCACTTGCAGCCAGGGAGACGCTTGCTCAGGACCTGACCTTCCAACTGCTCATGACTGTGCAGGGGGACTGGGCACAGAGGGGCCAGGCAGAGTGTCTTGTCTCTCTTAGAGTGAGTCCTTCAAGCACCCCTCTCTTGCCCATGTGATAACGCTGAGCGTCCATGTGTCACCTGGGGCTGGAGCATCCTTTGAAATCTAGCGCTACTGTGGGATCTAGAAGAACTGACGGAGAACTGGAGGAGACCTGGACCTAAATGGGTGGATTTAGAATCCAGCCCTTGCTCTGTGGATGCTGGGGTTATTCCTTTAAAGTTTGAGAGTTTTTCCAGTAGTGGCTTTTGTAAAAGCCATGAGGTCCTGGGCTCAGTTATTTCTGTGGGGATGTGTCATTCTATTGTACTTGATGTTTCGTTATGTATATTAAGCTATGTTATCTTATCTTATTTCCAACAGGGCATTTTTCCTAAGTCCTTTATCCACATCAAGGAAGTGACCATTGAAAAAAGAAGGTACTTGCCATTCTTCACTAGGCTTGGCCTTCGGTGGCTTATGGGGTGTCTCTGTCCTGTCTTCTTTGAAAGCATGACTTGGTGGATGTGATCCGTCTTTTTCGTGCCTGTGTTTATTTGTGTGGCTCCTTTCCCTCATCTAATCCAAATTGATTCCTGCTCAGGTCTGATTCTGAGTGGGTATCAGTAAGTTTGAGAATCAGACTTTTCATTGGCAACTGCCTTTGGACTGTACTAACTAAATTAACCGTGAATAATGAGCTTGAAGGGCCCACCCCAGTGAAGGAGGACATTAAAAGAGAAGCCTCTTGCATTTGCATAATGTAATTGGTGTGGCTGTTGGAGGGGACAGCAAATTCACAGCAAGGACCCTCTCAGCAACTGCAGCTTCATGCAAATTGGCCAGCATTTTGTCTTGTTAGCACCTGGGTCCCAATTTCACACCGCTTTCTCTCCTGCCTTAAATAGAAATATTGAGAACATCATTCCTGCAGAAATTCCTCTGGCACAAGAAGTGACAACGACGCTTTGGGAATGGGGCAGCATCTGGAAACAGCTCTACGTGGTGAGACTCCAAGCCCCGTCCCCAGGGATGGGCGCTCCTTGCAGTCTTTGTTTGGTTGAAATGTGGAATTTAGCCTTGAACAGGGCAAGGGGGCTTTACTGATATAGTAGGACACAGTGTACGAGGACATCAAGGCCCAGAGGGGTTCGGTGACTTTCTCAAGGCCACACAGCCAGTTAGTGATGGAGTCATAATAAATGGGGGTCTGGCGTGATCCTTTTATAAACGAATGCAAACATTTTCAAACTTGAGTGTCTTAAAGAATCACCTTGAGAGCTCTTACGATCTAAAGCTTACTTCAGTGGGGCTCTGCCGTTGTAATAAACTCAGGGGATTTTGATTTCCTGGTCTGCTTACAACACCTTCAGAAACACTGTTCTCGTATGTTAATTAACTAGTGGCTGCTGTCCTCAGATCTATGAGGAAACTCTGACCCTGGAAAAACAAAGAGCGCATTTTGCATCTGTTCTCCCTGTACTGAATCGAATCTAATTTGAAGTCCTCCTTTGATGTTTCTGAAGTTCTAATGAAAGCAATTAGCTAAGAAAACCATTAAGCTGCGAGTGAAAATGTCAACCACGGCTCCACGCATATTTGTTACAGCACCTGCACAGCTGCTGCCGTACACACATGGTTTGCAGACTTACTTTTACAGTCATAAATGTTGACTCCCACGTGGATATTTCATAATTTATGGTCTTCGATACCTCCAGTTCCGTAAGTTCCCCGACAGTTGTTAGGAAAGTATGGGGGACCGACAGTAGACTTGAGGCTCACGTGGATCATTATTCATCTCCACTACCCTTTGGAAAACATCTCTTACACATGCACCAGGGATGCTTCGTGTTTCCCCTGGAGAAATCCTTGACAGCAAGTCCATCGTGCCCTTGACCCTAGTAAACAGCTCCTTAAACTTCCAATATTCCAGTATCGCCTTCGTGAGTCTTGCCTTATTTCCACACCATCTATGTAACATGTACTTAATACCTAAACTGGCTCCCTTTTTAGTAAACTGAAATGATTCGCATAAGGAACTGTATAGCAAGCTATCTCATTCTAGCATTTTCTGATTCTCCGACACCAATTGGATGCCCTACGATTCAATTCAATGTAACACTGACTACCCAGAGTTAGTGTCAGACGCCATAGATTTAAGGGCTCAACCCTGCAAGATTTGTCACTTCAGATGCCAGTCACAAGTCCTGCGTCCCCATTCGGGGGTTCTCATGATTCCTCCCCAACCCCACCTCGGGCTCTACTCAGAGAGCTCTGGAAAGAGCTGTATTCATGGTTACTGTTTTATTAGAAAGGATACAAGGCAGGAACAGCCACAGCCACATGGAAGAGATGCCCAGGAAAGGCACTGGGGTGGGAGTGGGCACAGAGTTGCTACGCCTTCCCCCGGTGTGCCCCCATCCCTATATTGAAGCAAATCTAATTTGTTCACCATCTGGGGAGTTCCTTGAACCCTGTTATGGAGGGTTTTGATCAAAGTCTCATTACATAGTCATGATGGATTATATCATTGACCATTAGTGATTGAGCTCAGTTTCTAGCCCCTCTCAGCTCCCTGGAGGTTGGGAGTGGGGAGGTGAGAGGGAAGCTTAAAATTCCAACTCTCTAACCACATGGCTGGTTCCTATGGCATCCAGCCCCCATCCAGAGGTTATCTAGGGGCACTACCAAGTGTCATGTCATTAGCCTAAACTCAGGCTTGGTCGAAAGGAGCTCATTATGAATAAGAAAAGACACTCCTATCTATCACCCAGGGAATGCTAAGTATCTTATGAGCTGTGCCAAGACCTGGGACAAAGACCAAAACTCTATTTCATTATACCACACATGCTTTCCCAAATGGAAAGCTAAAAGTACTTGGCACCATTAGAACATCATTCAAATAAATAACATTGAAAACAATGTTATTAAATGCTTGCTTTAGTACCTGCCAAAAGCTTTGAGCCACAGACCTTCCCTCTCTCTTTGTTAAAAAAACAGAAATTAACCAATGTGAGAGAGAGGTTAGAGACGAAGCTGCAACTTTCTCCTTCGCTTGAACAGGACAGGAGGAGAATCACCGTAGAGGCCCATAATATTTGGCGTGGTGTCTTTGTTCCATTAAAAGCCATATTGTATCCCACAGGTTGTATGCATGTCACACTTGGGGAAACACTGTCCTAGAAATGGGCCTTTATCACCAGAGAAATGGCCCTAGTTCCCAGCCTTCAAGGGGCCCGAGCTCTAGGGCTGGGGAAAGTTTCTCATCTTCTCTTCTTGGTTCTTTGGGTGGCCTACTAATTAAATTTATATAAGACAGCTTAATAGGAGAGAAAAAAACAAATTTCATGTCATACTTATGGGAGACCCAAAGGTTTGAGACTCAAAAGGCAGCCAGGTGACGGAGGCTTCCAGAACATCCTGAGCTCAGGACAGGGGAGGGGTCTGGGAATACAAAGTGGAGGAAGGTCATTCACAGGAAGGCAGAGGAGAGCTTTGGAAAACAAAGGTTGCCCTGTTCTGCAGATAAGTTGCTTAGGTACAAAGGTATGTATGGTGAGAGCTCTCTTCCTGGTACAGGCCCTCCTTCCAGTGTAAATTTAGGCATTTGAGGGGGTGGTAAAGAGCGTTTCCTGAATCTGTTGGCTTTTGATTGCCTTTAGCTTGAAATAGTCCTCATGTCAAAGAGACATATTTTGGGGTAGCAAAATCTGCTCCCCTTCACAGCAGCTGCTCATGGTGTTCCTGCCCAAGCATCTTTTGGGATAAGTCAGAAATCATCCTTTCTTTAATTGAGAAGTGATTTGGGATTATTACCTTTGCTTTTGGGAAACCCTCGTGGCCAGGGGACAGAGGGGGTATATGTCAGTGACTAAGACCACCACCCAATCCTTTTGTAGCTGGGAAAGGGTACCTCCTGCACAGGTGACTGGGATTGTTTCCTGTCTCCTAGGCCAGCAAAAAGGAGCGCTTCCTCCAGGTGCAGGCCATGATGTACGACCTGATGGAGTGGCGGTCCCAGCTCCTCTCAGGAACGCTGCCCAAGGACGAGCTGAAGGAACTGAAGCAGAAAGTCACGTCCAAAATCGACTATGGCAACAAGTAAAAGCTCTTCCCTCTGAAAAGATGCTTTCTCCCCCTACCCACCCACTTCTTCCCTCCCTCCCTCCCCAGAAGCTTGGTTTCATTTTTAGATACCAGTTGGCCACTTTCTATTTGGGAAGAGGCTGTTACCAAGGTTGTGCTTGTGTGCCTTTGTCATCACCCCCCTGGGACCCAGCACAGGCAAGCGGAGAGCAGGCTTGCTTATGCAGTAGTTATTACCCAGCTGAGAGATTTAGGACACTCATTTAACCTACTTCCGAGGGGCTGGGGAGCGCAGTCATGCTGGCTCACTTTTGGCTTAGTTGTCATTTTATTCCTGCATTTACAAAACTGGTCCTTAAATCCCAGTGTGAGATTTAACGTCCTTCCCCATCCTAAATTATCTAAGCCCCATACTGTCAGCTAACTCATGCACAGTTACAAAAGCATTTCCTCCAAAGGGAATAGCAGAGATTGATTGGAGTTTGAATGTTGTGAAGTTAAGGAGAACATGAAACAATTTTTTGAGGCAGGGAAACCTACTGGTAATAATAATAGTGGTAATAATATTTTAACTAACATTTAATCTGGGCTTATTATGCACCAGGCATGCTAAGTGCTCTGCATGCACTGTCTCATTTAATTCTTATAACAACTCTATGGGGTATGCAATTGTAGTGTCCTCATTTTTTTCAGATGAAGAAACTGAGGCTCTTAAAGAGGTTAAATCATTGATTTGCAGTCACACATGTAGTAAGTGGAAGAACCAGCATTTAGTTCCAGGCTGCCTGGCTCCAGAGTCCATGGGCCTCACCACTATGTGACTTGGAGAGCATTTGAGAGCTGTAAAGGCCTCCCTCCCCTCCAAATGCCTTACTCATTTGTTTATTCATCCTAACAACAAATGAGTGTTGAGCACTTATGATTGGACGGATTTCCTGCTACGTGTGGAGGCCATAGAAATGAAAGTTTCTGTCCACTACAGGACCACAGCCTAATTAGGACTGAACTCCAGGGAAACTATTGATATGTATTGTTGTCAGTTTGATGGCTTAGGAAAAAGATGTTCTTAAGTTGATTGCAGAAGGGAGTCAAGGAAGGCTTCTGGTGGAGGTGACTCCAAGCTGAATTTTGAAAGTTAAAAGAAGTGGGTCAGAGTGCCCACTTCTTTAAATACCCAGACTGCAAAGTGGGCCACAAGTCTGGAACTTCCCTGAGGAGGAAGTAGAAAGAGCTGATGCAATGAGAATAAGACCATTTCCTAGCAGCCAGGCTTTCTTGCTTTTGTCATATGCACTTGGGAGGAGATCCAAAGAGGAAAGCCAATGGGTCCAACTTACAGCTGCTGTCCATCCCAGGAGCCCAGGCCTTCTGCCGGTGCCTTGGCTGGCAGCTGCCAAGCGTGTCCAAATCTGCTTATAATGCACAGGGCCCCAGAGTGACAGGACGACAGGTTTGCCGCGCAACTGCCGCCGCCATTGGTGCGGTGGCATCTGAGCACAGCCACAGCTGGGAGTGTGGGAATTGAGGGAGTTTTGCTGCTTTACAGCCATGGCATCTGTGACCTTCAGTTGTTGTGTCCTCCTGGAGGCTCCTGAGAAAAAGGACCAAGGGTGGAAGGAGTGGTCCGGCTCATGGGAAGCCTTTCCTGGGTTAGGGGCTCTTGCAGACCCTGGGCCTCCTGCACAGTAGTTGCCTCCCTTCTGGCCTGTCTCTCCCGCTGTGCTGGAAGCTCCTCCAAGACAGCAACTGTCTAACTCATGGCTGTGTGCCAGGGACAGGGTCTGCACACAGTAGGTGCTCAGTGAGTCTTCACTGAAGGAACGCATGAGTGATGGTAATGGAAGAAAGAGGAGAGAACAGGCCCTCCCTCCATCAGCCTGCCTCTGCGGCATGGCCCACCCAGCCCTGTGCTTTTAGTTTCATGCAGTTCCCTTTGGGGAAGTGAGAGATACCCTCAGAGACTGAGGCCCTGGGCTGAGGGGCCCCTTGCTTCTCGCCTCCCTTCCCCGATGACTTCAGCTGAAAGTGAGAGAGAATTGTGCACCTTGGATTAATACCGACTCAGAGCTCTGATCTGGGGTGCAGCAAGTGGCTTCCTGAGAGTCAGAAGGCTGGACTCTGGCTAGAGTGTGGCTGTGAGGTCAGGGAAGCATGACCGGGTGCTGAGTGCTCACAGAGTGACCAAAATCAGCCCATTTCCTCCCCAACTCACTCCATTCCTGCATTGAGACAATTTTGTTGAGCACCAGAGTGGCCCCAAGGACATTTATAAAATGCATCCTTTATACATACAGTGGGGCCTTGACTTACAAGTTTAATTTGTTCCGTGATGGAGCTCGTAACTCAAATTACTCGTATGTCAAATCATAAAGTGAACGAGTGAGACACGTGATGATGGGCTGATGTTGTGGCATTCACTGTGACATTCGCTGCGCCAACTAGTGGTGGGGTATCTGAAGCTGGCTCGTAACTCGAATTTTAGCTCGCAACTCAAAGCAAAAATCGGCCGAGAGATGGCTCATATCTCGAAAAACTCGTTAGTCGGGACACTTGTAAGTCAAGGCCCCACTGTATTTCACAACAACAAAAAGCCAGCAGTTTTAAGCACTTTCCATGTATTAACTCATTTAAGTGTCAGGACAGGTCCCCATTTCTCAGATGATTAGGTCATTTTGCCCGCCCAAAGTGCACTGGCATTTGAACCAGGATGCTTGATTCCCACTGCATTCTACTGCCTCCGGATGCTTGATTAGAGAAGAGAAGAGAAGAGAAGAGAAGAGAAGAGAGAGAGAGGAGAGAGAGAAGAGAGAAGAGAGAGAAGAGAGAGAAAGAGAAACAGACATCTGAGAGAAGAGAGAGAAGAGAGAGAGGAGGAAGCATGAGTGAGAAGGTGGGAGGAGGCAGGGGTGGGAGGCAAGACTAGTAGGAATTATTCAGTGAAGAAGAATTGCAGAAGACAGGGAGAGAGAATTGCAGAGAGAGAGAGAGAGAGAGAGAGAGAGAGAGAAAGAATATGAATGAATGCAGGAGAGAGAGAGAAGAGAGAGAATGAATGCAAGGAGAGCTGTGGACCAGAACCTTGAGGGCCTGAGAGCCAAGTGGAGAAGTTTGCATTTGTCCAGGGGGCAATGGGAAACCACAGAAGGAGCCATTTCTGTTTTCTTTATCTTAATTTTTTTTATTTTTAGAAAAATGCATACAGTGGGGGCTTCTTCCCTCACCTTCATCTTGGGTTCACTTTCTTGAACAGAAGAGAGCACTGGGGCCACCTCCTAACAGAAAATGTCAAAATGGTCAGTTCTCCAAAACAAATCGTCTGCTGTCCTGTGAGGGGCAGCCCTTCTGATCCTGAGTCGTGGCAATCGCAGCAGTCCCGCCCCTGGACTACTAAAGCTCCCAGCTTCAAGTGAGACTGGCAATGGATTGGCTCTCTGTGTCCAAAGAGTGAGGGAGGAATCCTCAAATGACCCCTCCGACACCCAGGGTAGCTGCACCTGGAAGGATGTTTTATTCATACATGTTAGAACTGAATCCACTTTGATAAATTTTGAAGAGAAAGAGCTAGAGAGATCTTGGCATTAAATTATGTATGGGCGAGGCTCCATCTTTTCCGAGGCCATGTGAGCCTCTGCTCGGCATTAGCTGAATGCATTTGTTCCCCCTGAGCACGGCCCGTTCTGCACCGTGGCTGCCCAATATTATGAGTCATATCTAGTGGGAAGTTAATTTCCTAATGAATGTGGACAAACGGGTGAACCTTGGCTCCCTTCTGTTTGCATTTGGCTGAGATGAGAGACGTGCCTCTCAATCCGATTCTCAAATAATAGATGAAAGTTTAGTCTCCTTCATTTGTCTTTGCTCTCCTTCCCCAATCTGGTACCCAGTAGTGGTGCCTAAGCAGGACCACTATTGGCCTTCTCAGAATCTCCATCAGCCTACTTCCCCTAGGGACAACTGAGGCCCTCCATCTCATCATAAAGTGCAAAAGCACCTTCAAATTAGGCCTCTGCAAACCTTACCATAATGTTCTCCAGGCCCATCCATGCTGTTGCGAATGGTAAAGAGTTCTCTCTTTTTTATAGCAGCATAGTATTCCATTGTGTAGATGTACCATAGTTTTTTAAAAATTATTTATTGTTTAAAGCAGTGGTTCTCAACCTTGGCTGCACATTAGAATCACCTGGGAATCTTTTTAAAATCCTGATTTCTGGGCTTCATCCTCCAGAAATTCTGTTTCTTTGTTACTAATGTTGTGGCCCCACCCCATAACAAAGAAACAGAATTTCTGGAGGATGAGAGGCCCAGAAATCAGGATTTTAAAAAGATTCCCAGTTATTCTAATGTGCAGCCAAGGTTGAGAACCACTGGTTTAAAGTATTACATGAGTCTCCTTCCCCGCCCCCCATTGACCTCTCCCCCATCTCCCCTCCCACAAGCACAAGTCCTCACCCCCCCCCACTGTCTGTGTCCATTGATTTTGCTCATATGCATGCATACAAGTCCCATGTCCTTTGGTTGATCTCTTACCTCCTCACCCCCCGCCTTCCCTCAGGTTGTACAGTCTGTTCAATGCTTCTATGTCTCTGGTTCTATTTTTGTTCATCAGTTTATGTTGTTCACTATATTCCACATATGAGTGAGATCATGTGATATTTAGCTTTCTCTGACTGGCTTATTTCGCTTAGCATAATGCTCTCTAGTTCCATCCATGCTGTTACAAATGGTAAGAATTCCTTCTTTTTTACAGCAGCTTAGAATTCCATTGTGTACATGTAATTTGCCACAGTTTTCTGATCCACTCATCTGCTGATGGGCACTTAGGCTGTTTCCAAATCTTAGCTGTTGTAAACTGTGCTGCTGTGAACATAGGGGTGCATATATCCTTTCTAATTGATGTTTTTGTTTTCTTGGGATTTTTTGATTTGCATCTCTCAGATGATTAGTGACTTTGAGCATGTTTTCATATGTCTCTTGGCCTTCTGTATGTCCTCTTTCGAAAAGTGTCTATTTAGGTCCTTTGCCCATTTTTTGATTGGATTGTTTATCTTCCTTTTGTTAAGTTGTATGAGTTCCCTGTAAATTTTGGAGATTAAACCTATCGGAGATAACATTGGCAAATATATTTTCCCATGCAGTGGGCTTTCTTGTTGTTTTGTTGATGGTTTCTTTTGCTGTGAGAAGCTTTTTATTTTGATGTAGTCCCATTTGTTTATTTCTCCTTAGTTTCCATTGTCCTAGGAGCTGTATCGGTAAAGATATTGCTACCACATATGTCTGCTATTTTGCTGTCTATGGAGTCTTCTAAGATTTTTATGGTTTCCCATCTTGAGTTTAAATCCTTTATCCATTTTGAATTTATTTTTGTGTATGGTGTAAGTTGGTGTTATAGTTTCATTGTTTTGCATGAATCTGTCCAATTTTCTGAACACCATTTAATGAAGAAACTATCTTGACTCCATTGTATGCTCTTGCCTCCTTTGTCAAATATTAATTACACATATGGCTTGGGTCGATTTCTGGGTTCTCTGTTCTGTTCCATTTTCCTATGTCTGTTCTTATGCCAGTACCAGGCAGTTTTGAGAACAGTGGCTTGCGGTATAGCTTGATGTCTGGTACTGTGATCCTTCCAACTTTGTTCTTCTTTCTCAGGATTGCTGCGGCTACTCAGAGTCTTTTTTTTTTGTCCCCATATGAATTTTTGGAAAGTTTGTTCTAGGCCTGTGAAACATGCTGTTGGTATTTTAATGGGGAGTGCATTGAATCTATAGATTGCTTTGGATAGGATGGACATTTTACTGATGTTGATTCTACCAATCCATGAACATGGTATATTCTTCCATTTGTTTATGTCTCCCTCTATCTCTTTTTTCAACATCCTGTAGTTTTCCGAGTTCAGGTGTTTTACCTCCTTAGTTAAGTTTATTCCTAGATATCTTAATTTTTTTGTTGCAATGGTAAATGGGATTGTTTTTGTTTGTTTGTTTGTTTTTCTTTCTGTGAGTTCATTGTTGGTGTATAAAAAAGCCTTAGATTTCTGGGTGTGAATTTTGTATCCTGCTACATTGCCAAATTCATTTATTAAATCTAGTAGTTTTTTTATGGAGTCTTTAGGGTTTTCTATGTACAATATCGAATAATGACAGTTTTACTTCTTCTTTTCCAATTTGGATGCCTTTTATTTCTTTTTCTTGTGTGATCTCTATGGCTAGCACTTCTAGTACTGTGTCAAACAGGAGTGGTGAAAGCAGGTATTCCTGTCTTGTTCCTGTTCTTAGGGGAAATGGTGTTAGTTTTTGCCCATTGAGTATGATGTTGGCTGTAGGTTTGTCATATATGGCTTTTATTATGTTGAGGTATGATCCCTCTATTCCCACTTTGCTGAGAGTTTTATCAGGAAAGAGTGTTGCATTTTGTCAAATGCTTTTTCTGCATCTATTGATATGATTATGTGGTTTTTACCTCTCGATTTGTTTATGTGATGTATCACATGTTTATTGATTTGTGAATATTATACCATCCTTGCATCCCATGGCCATTACCTTTTTATAGACACTTTTCTTCAACACTTTTTTAATGCAAATAATGCTGCAACACACATCCTCATTTCAGTGTAAGGTGTTTCTCTAAGTTCAATATCTCAGGAAATATACATTAATACACATGCCACAGTCCCTCCTAAGGAGGCTGTGCTGCATCAGTGTGACTCCCAGCTATGCACAAGGCTGTGGGTATAGAGCTGTTCTGTGGGAGTCTATGATCCTAGAAATCAGGTGAACTTTCTGGTAGAAACTCCTCGCCGATGTCCCAAAGGCTTCAGCCTCTTGTGATTTATCCTCCCCTCCCATTTTGCTTTTCAGAATCCTTGAGCTTGATCTGATTGTCCGAGATGAAGATGGAAATATCGTGGAGCCTGATAACACCAGCGTCTTCAGCTTCTTCCATGCACACCAGGAAGCAACTGAAAAAATCACAGAGCGTATCAAGGAAGAAATGGTGAGCTTTGTGAAACAGGCTTTGACCAAGATGGGCAGGCATTCAGTACATCATAAACTTAAAATAATAGGCTAATTAACCAGACTATTTTCCCTATGGACAGAGATGATCAGTAACCACACACATTTTACTGTGGTTTTGTACTGGGATCTGTAATTCATTCTGTATCCATCCCATAGGAAGTTTAATGCCAGCAAATTTCCTGTTCTCATAGAACTTTATAGCCCAGAGAGGAGAAAAGAAGAAAGGCAGTAAAAAAGTAAATAAACAAATGGAACAATTAATTACAGGTGATAGTAAGTTTCTAAAAGGCAATAAACTAGGGTTATGTGAATCAGTGAACCAGGAGCTATTTCAAAAGGTACCATGAAGAAAGGCTCTCTCAGCAGTGACATCTGAGATGACACTTGAATAATGCGAAGGATCAGGCCTGGGAAGAGCTAAGGACAAAGTGTTCTATGCAGAGAGAAGAGCAAGTGCAAAGGCCCTGAGGTAGGACTGAGTTCTGAATGTTTGAGAAGTAGAAAGACCAGTATGGATGGAGTATGATGAGTAGTGTGAGAGTGTAGGCAATGCCTTGGAGAAGCCAGTAACAGGAGCCAGGTCTTATAGGACCTGAGGAGTCATGCAAAGGGCTAAGATGTTATTTCAAGTGTGGTAGGAAGCCAACAAAGATGTCAAGAAAGCAATCTTTTCAAGGTTAACATCTGATTCATAATTAAAAATGATTTTAACCACAGTATTTGAAAGCAACCTTATTTTTAGATTTATTGAGATAGAATTTTCACACAATAAAAATTAACTTATTTAAACTAGTCTAATGAATCTTATTAATACATAGTGTTGGGTAAACTCTACCACAATCAAAATATAGAGTGGTTGCATTACCCTAAATGTTTCTTTGAGTTCCTTTATAGTCCATCCCCTTCTACATCTCCAAGCCCTAGGAATTTCTAATTTGCTTTTCAAATCTTTATCAGATATACATTTTGCAAATATGTTTCCACCCAGTCTATTAGGCCTGGCTTTTGATTTTCTTAAATGTGTCATTTCATAAGCAAATGTTTTTAGTTTGATGAAGTTTCTTTAAGCAATTTTTTTCTTTTACAGTTTGTGCTTTTATGACACTAATTTCATGAGGAAGGCTGGGTCAGTCAGTGGTGGGAAACCAAGATGGGAAAATCAAAGCCAAGAGAGGTTAAAATCAAGGCAGTGTAGAGTGTAGGCAAGTGACTTTGGCTCAGGTTGCAGAAACTTTGGGTTGTAGAGCTGAAAATACTGCTGAAATTTTCGGGCTCAAAACCTACGTGATTCTCAATATCCTGGACCATCTTTCTGTGTTCTGAGTGGTTCTGGGCTAATTTTCTCTTTCTTCCTCTCACCTCTCAGTCAAAAGATCAGCCAGATTATGGATTGTCTTCCCGGATCTCCTCATCCCCTACCCACAGCCTCTATGTCTTTGTGAGAAATTTTGTGTGCAGAATTGGGGAAGACTCTGAGCTCTTCATGTCTCTGTATGACCCCAACAAGCAAGCCGTCATAAGGTAGGTGTGGTCAGTGTTGCCTGACTTCTCTGCATGTGGAAGGCTGGAGTTGGCGGACCACAGAGCATCTTTTCTTTCCATAAGCACTTGTGCAGAAATTCCCACCCACATAACTGAGAAGAATATGAAATAACTTTTTTTTTTTTTAGGGCATAGAAGTCAGGTGGAAGTATTTCTTACCACCATTTTTTTTCCAGAGTTGGGTTATGGTTTGTAAATAGTTCTGATTTCTGGAAGACAACCAGAAATAACAAGATTCAGAGAGGTAGCATTGGATAGAATAGAAGAACTACTTTAAAATGGGAATTGAGAATGAATGGTGCAAACTCTCTATCCTCCTTAGCAGCAGTGGCCTAAGAAAGAGTATGAGCTCTGGGTTTACATCCTGACATCCCCACTTATTCTTTCTCAACCTTGGGCAGGTTATTACTTTTTCTTCACTCTGGGTTTTCCATATGCACAATGTGAATGCCAACCTCACAGGGTCATTTTTTTCAAGCTTTTATGAGAAAAAAAATCACATGAAGCCCAGGGCTGGCAAACGCTACCCGGGCTCCAAAAGGGAGTGGCTGTGATTATTACTACTTTAATGAACTGTTCTTGAGAATGAAGGAAATGAGGGAAGTTCTAGGTGCCTCAGCTCAAGGAGGGAAAAGCACTTTGGGAATCTCCAGGGAAAGACTTTGGCCCTCACTTCTGTCCCCCTGGCCTCTGCTTCTGGCTCAGACCATACTTCCTCCCAGGTGACCACTGACTATGGCCCCCAATAGGATTAGGGCCAACACATGGTCCTATATTGGAGGTCCTGGTTTATGCATTAGAATAGAGCTGGAGCATGATCTGCTTTTATGGAGAAAATGATGTCTTTCTAGCTTTGATGCCATGACAATGAAATGAGTGCAGGGCTGGTGAATGTGGGGCTTTAGAAAATGATGGCTCTCTTGGAGACACTTGTGAAACATAGAGGGGACTGTCCATCTCAGAAGGCTGAGCTGAGGCCTGTACATGATCTCATTCAATTTCATTACTCTGTGCCACTTGGGTGAGAAATGAGGCTCAAGGAAGCCACATGACTTTCCCAAAGTCACATGTCTTTATAAGTGGCAGAGCTGGGATTTCTACCTGGGTCCATCTGGCTCCAAAGGCAAGGGGGTCCCCAATTTAGCCTGTCACCAAGGCACTTTTCCCTAGGAGTAACATCAGATACCTGAATGGTTTTCACCAGGGTGTCATTTATGGTGCAAAGTTATTCTTTATAGCAAACCAAATCCCTAATATTAGAGAGCCAGCCCAGTTCACCTGGCTAGGCCTCAGTAGACACTGCAAACACGTCTTCCTGCTCCCTGAGAACCTGCCTTGGAAGGGTCTGTGTGGCAGTCTCCTTGCTGCTCCTGTCCGTTGCTCCCAAGGCACCCGTGACAAGATCCTGAAAGCACTAACAGGACCCTCCCTGCCTCTTAGAAAACATGAGGACTCGTCATGACTGAATTGGCAAGGGTGCCTGGCCTGCTGGCCAAGGGATGGATGGCCTGAACCTGTTCTGGGGAGAGAGGCAATGGATCAGCGAGATGGCAGCCCTGTTCCTGATGTGTCACAGCGATGATGTGCTTGCTGGGGCGTGCCTGAGAGATGCCTCTGAGCATGCAGAGACGCAAAACGTTGTCTGTAAGGACCCCTGCTGTCGCTCTGGGTGACAAGGCCCCCTTGGGGGCCTCTGCTAGTAAAGATTTGCATTTCCCACCCCTGATTCTGCTCTCTAAATGCCAACTGCCTTCGGGATGGTGTTGAGTAATGTGACCTACACCTTAGAGCTCGGTTAGCACAGTAGCCCATAATAAGACCTGGTGTTGTTATTTCTTTACACCAAAGCAGCTCTTCAATGCCTGTTCCTCTCCTTTCATGACTGCTAGTTCTTCTTTTTTCTTTTTCTTTTTGCTTGGCCTCACTCCATAGGTTAGCCTTTGCAGTTAAAATGTTGTTCTCATTGAAACATGAGCTGGTTTATTCAGGCAAATTCATGGCAAAAAAGAAAAAAGATCAATACAGAGCCTTAGGCTGGTGGAGACTCAGGATGCGCTCAACACAGACAACCCAGCACTTGCTCTAAATTCCCAGCGCTCAGCCAGATGCTGGTGGAAAGCCTCATTAGTAACTTGGTCTCCAGAGGGCTGGCCGAGTGTATGCAAGAATGCAAAGACATTGCTATAAATATTTAGACAGCATATGTCCTCTACAATATTTGTCATGTGTGTTTACATCTATTTACTTACATTTCCTCTAAGGTTGTCAGCAGCTGTGTCCGGTGTGTGGGAGGGTCTTGTGTCTCAATTTCTCTTTCGGAACACTTAGCTGAAATAAAATTGCTCTCAGCGGAAGTGGCAGCATGGGCAAATGCTCCTCTCAGGCCGCAGTAGGTGATCAGATAGCACAGTGGGATGTGGTGTGAGTGTCGATAAGTCATCTGCTCTGCCTGGGGCCTGAGCTCAGGCAGATCTTGCCTTCCTCCACCTAAGAGTAACTAGCATTACAGAGCCATTGCAACGTGCCAGGTACCCCGGTAAGCATGATGCATTGCCATCATTACCCCATCTTTACAGAGTGGGAAGCTAAACAGCTCTCCCAAGGTCATGAGGTGAGTATGAGGCAGAGGGGGGTTTTGATTCCAGGTTTCTGGCCCTCTTAAACACTTCACTGTGACGTCTATCCATCTAAAAAATTACCCAAGTCATTTCTCATTTTAACATGAGGCTAGTAACCAATTCTATCAAAATCTATTTTAACTTTAAGGAAATCCCCACAATTGCATTTTGTTCATAAAGACTGGCTCTGTTAATTAATATTTAATTGAGCAAAATACAGGCATTTAACTCATTTTCTTTTTTTGATTCTGAAACTTTTCTGAAAAATAAAATAAGTGAGAGACATGTTGCCGAAAGAACATAAAGGAAGAGTAGAGGGTTTTATCTGAAAGGGAATTTGCATTTCCCCGAATGTACAGACCACTGCTTTGAAGTTATTTTTACCCAGCTACCTGTTGGGGAACTTTTTAACCTCGGCTTCAGTTTTTAAACCATTGATACCCTTGCCGCCAATGCTCCAAATGGCAAATTAGAAGAAGCGTTAACAGAAAAGCAGGTGTCTTACCTTGTTTCTGAACCATTCTTGCTTTTATCTCTGCTACCTTTTCAAGTCATACCCCACCAGGCGGCATAGACGCATTTCTCACAGATGAATACGGGAGCACGCATGCTGGGGCTGAGGTGGAGAGGCAGCTGTGGGTCGTGGTGATAATTTGCAGTTTCATCTACTAGGGAAGTTATGGGGGAGTTCAGTTGACTGACTATTGAAAATTGCTAAGGAAGCCTGTGGAGGCTTGCCTTTCTCTCTTTGCAGAAATCAATATGACTGCCTAATGAAGTCCAGGCGGCTCACTCAAACACTCCTGTCTGACGCTGGTGGGCTCCTGTGGGAACGGGCCCTTTAGGGATACCGACTTCTCCTCTGCTCCAGGGGCACCAGGCCTTGGCGGAGCGGGGCCAGAGGACAGTGGGGTATATTGGTCATTGGCTCACTTTGGGTCTCAACGACCTTGCTCAGAAAGGGTCATAGGAGAGAAGCTAATGAGGTGAGCTCTGGGCTCAAACATTCAGGGTTCAGATCCAAGCCTCTCCTATCAGCTGTGTGATTTGGGCAGGTTTATTTGTCTATAAAGAGGAATAATAATCCTTCTCGTCAGATTTCAGGTAAACAAAATGGTAGGTGTAAGGTACCTGGTATGCAGTACTTGGTAACAGGAAGGAAACATTAAGAGAAGGCAGACCTACTACAGGGTGAAGCCTGGGCATGAATCAAGGGTGTTCAAGTGGGCAATCCAATGTGGATGCCTGAGCAAGTCTAAAGAGAATTAAAAAAAGGCTCAGATGCCAGGTTGAGAAACCTCTGCTCTTCTGACCAGCTTAAGGTGGGAGGTAGGGCGTGGGGGGCAGTGTGGTGTCATGGTTAAGACTATGCCTTCTGGGCCAGATAGCCAGGCTCAAAGCCCAGCTCAGCTCAGAGTAGCAGGATGACCTTGAACAAGTTACATGATCTCTCTGTACCGAAGATTCTCTGCCTGCAAATGAGGCCAGCTGTGGCACCTTATTCTTGTGACTATCAAGTGAGGTAATCTACATAATAGGTGTTCATTACTGTTGGCCATCTTTCCTGGAAAGGTAGAGCGATCTCCAGGCTTGACTCCCGCCTGGTGGATGCTCATAGGCATCTCCCGTGAGGTGGCCTCATAGGTGTGGCACACTTTCTGGCGAGTTCCCATCATGGTGACATTTGTTCCTCAGGTGATTCCTGCAAAGTAGATAGGGCCTGTGTTATGAGCCTGAGGTCCCTCCTGCTGAAGTGTGCCTGCCAAGGCCAACTCAGCCTTAAAGCCTCCAGTTTCCTGATTCCTGCTCAGATGTGCTCAGCTGACGGTGTCAGCAGAGCCTCCTGACTGTTAACTGGGGTTCCGGGGGTAGGCAATGGGGAAAATTGCTTACTTGAGACATACACAAATCTATATTTTCCCTAAAACAAGGCTCAGTCCCAATCACGATGCTCTCTAGACACATTTGGCAATGTCCAATTTATCTCTGAAGGGTTGAGGGTCTTAGGCCTTTCTCAGAATAATACTGAGACTTTTCTCCACCTTAGTCAAGATTTTTCATCATCTGAGGCACTGGCTGGGTAGCTCAGATCCCGGTCAGGACACAACCAATGAATGTATAAGTAAGTAGAAGTAAGTAGTACAACTCTCTCTCTCTCTCTCTCTCTCTCTCTCTCTCTCTCTCTCTCTTCCTCTCTCTCTAAAAAAAAAAAACACCAATACATAAAATTTTAAAAAATGTTTTTTTTCATCATCAGGACAGTTTTGTGGGATTCCGTTGCCTGCCATACAGCAATTCTACTTTCACCAGAGATAGATGTGTATCTTTAGATTTTATGAGCTAGATGGAATTCACTGGAGCCACAGAAACTCTAAGCCCATAAATGTCACCAAATATAAATCTTGGGTGGCTGGAAAGCATCTAGGTTGTTCTAGAAGGAACACTAGGCAAAGAGTAGAGGGTCTGAGATGTAGTCCAGCTCTGCTACTTGTGGGCAAGTGACTTAACCTCTCAGGGCCTCAGTTTATTCAGTTGTGAAATGGGGATAATGATGGTAATCATGATAAGTGAGGTCAGGTGTGGAAAGGACTTAGCACAATGCTAGACAAAATGCACTCTTTGAAGGGTTAGAAAAAGCTCAGAAGCATGTTTTTAGTTTATTGCCCCGAGAATTTATTGCCCGAGAATTTCTGAAAGGCTTCCTCCCTGTGAGTGTCTTTCTTTATTTCCAGTTCTCTGGTTCTCCTTATGATGATTACTTATTTATTTATTTATTTATTCATTATTTATTCATTATTTATGTATTGTTAATCCTCACCTGAGGATTTTAGAGAGAGTGGAAGGGAGGGGGAGAGACACACAGAGAGAACATTGACGTGACAGAGACACATTGATTGGTTGCCTTCAGCTTTTGCCCTGACCAAGGCCTGGGATCGAGCCTGCAACCAAGGTATGTGCCCTTGATCAGAACTGAACCCAGGATCCTTCTGTCCTCGGGCTGACACTCTATCCATGGAGCCAAACCTACTAGGCTCTTGTTTTTGTTTTTAGAGATCAGTTTGAAAGGGCACTGTATCCTTACTTTGAAATAGACTCAGTTTGGCTGCAAGTACGACCCGTCAGTATTAAACTGAGCTCCTCCTTTCCCTGTGGCTCAGAAGTAAAGTGGGCGCTCTGCACACACAAGAGGGGCGGGATTCTGGGCCCACACGCGGCCAGCTGGGCCATTCAGTCCTGGGAGGAGTCCTGGGAGGCGGGCTTATTGGAGAATCTGGTAGAATCTGGTGAGAGGCCTGGACTCTCAGACGATACAAATGCCCAGAGCACACAGTTTTGCAATTTGGGGGTTTGGAGCTGCAAACCCAATCCTCACATCCCTGAGTCTCTATAGACTGGAGGTTAAAATCTGCTGCTCTTGTATAAGAACCCCACTTAAGCCCTTCTGGGTGATCCTGGCTCAGATCTGTTTGGTGGTCAAATAACTAGAATGAACAGAGAGAGAGATCAGGGGTTGGTATACTCCATAAAGAGGTAATTCCTGTTGCCCTTGTTGGTTTGGCTCAGGTTTTATTCTGGTTAAGGGCACGTACCTCGGTTGCAGGTTCGGTCCCGAGCCGCGGTTGGGGCATGTGCAGGAGGAAACTAGTTGATGTTCTCTCTCACATCTATGTTTCTCTCTCTCCTCCTCCTCCCTCCCTTCTACTCTCTCTCTAAAGATCAATGATATCCTTGAGTGAGAATTTAAAAAAAAAAGGATAGGTAATCCCTGTTACTTGGAGGGTGACTTTATGGCAAGGAATAAACAGCCTACACAGGTATGCTTGCTCTGCCCTCACTCTGCTCAGAACATCCTTGTGCATTTCTGCTCAGAGCCTAGGAATTTCCTTCAAGATCCTTCCTGAGTCCTCAGCTGGAACTCAAATGCCTCTTCTCTGTGCAAATACATGTGTCTGTCATCACATTGCATTGCTTAGTGACATGTCCGCCCATCTAATGATCCCTCCATTGAACAGAACCCTCATGCCAGCTTTAATATCTGACTTATTCCCATAACCCAGAGCTCAGGAGGGGCCTGGTTCCTGGAAGATGCTTCCTAACCATGGGCTGCCTCAGCCCCCTATGCCCCTGTCTGTCTGAAGCCTGAGCTCCTCCCTCCCCCTTCCCAGGTCCCTCGGGCACTTTGGTGTGATAGCATCAGAAATCCATCAGCACAGCAACTGCCTGACTGATGGGAGCCTGTTTGTAAACTTTGTGCACAGTCAGACTCAGGAAACAATAGGATTAATCAGACTGGCAGGGAGCAGGGACTCTGGGACCAGTCACCATTGCAGTAGGGCCTCTGCGTCCGCCCTGGCGCGCTCCTGCGGTCTCCAGAATGCAAGTAATAGGATTTCTGCAGTTAAGCATCTGTCACCTCGGGTCTGGGGACATGCATATACATCTATAATGTAGAAGGCCATGTGGGTACCTGGTAGGAGGGCTGGGAGAAGCAGGGTTTTCCCAGGTCCTAAGGCCAGCCTCGGCCTTGGGACCAAAATTACCCAAGCCCAGAAAAGGGCAGTTCTGTAGAATTCTCTCTCTCTCTGTTTTCCCCCTCTTCTGTCAGAATGCAATCTGCGTGGGAGCAGGGGACAAGCCTATGAATGAATATTGGTCCATAGTGTACTATCAAGTCAAACAGCCACGGTGGATGGAAACAGTCAAGGTAATAATAATACATTATAATAATAGCAGCTAATACATATCTGGGGCTCAGAGGCACCTCCCTGGGATCTGGAGCAATATCCCACAGGTGTCGGTGGCGCACCGGGCTGTGGAAATGGCGGGCCCGTGGGTGAGCACTCTGGCTCTCTTGCTCTCTCTCCACTGGCCGAGGGCCTGGCCACCGTGCAGTTGTCAGATGGTCCTCTCGTGGGTGGTACCCAGCCCACCAAGCTGTGTCCTGACATCAGCAGTGAGGAGTGACAGAGCTTGTGAGGCTACACAAGGCCACTTAACACCTGAAGGATAACCTGCTGGAGGGACCTCAGAGGGAAGCGGCATTAATCACAGATATTCACATTCCTAGATGGTCACACTAAGCAGAAGGGAAAGCCAGGCACTGGAGGAAGAGTTGGGAATTCATTCAGGGAACAGGGAAGCCTGGTCCCAGCTTCAAATAGCTCTGCCTGTAAGGAGCAGCAGGTTTGACTTCCCCTGTGCTCTGAACCCAAACTCAGATGTTCACATGACTCAAGTTTCAGAGGTATATGCAGACCCTGAGGTCCTTAACAACTTTCTTAAAAATGCTCAGTTTCTTAAAAATGATGACCTGCCCAGCTTTGGGGTCACAAGCTATTGAACCAGAAGCTATTGAACCAGGGCAGGGGGTGTCCTCTTCTCTGTGTTCATTTGCACCCCAGTTATACCTCCTTGTTGGTCCTTGTAAACAAAACTAGGCGCCGCCCCATGGGGGCCACAGTCCAAAGAAGGGACTTACACGAACACAGCCAGGGCCTCCTCACATGATTGTAGCTTATAGTAACCACTCAGCGTGCAGGAGAGAATGGAGTGGACTGCAGCTGCTCATGAGGCCCTCAGGTCTTGTGTTCTGTCTGAAACACCCAAATGGGGACCTCTGCAGGCTCCATGTTAATTTTCTGGAATGGAAAGCGCCCCAAGTATGCATCTGTTTGGGTTTTAATGGTCTTCTATACAATGTAAACGTGCCCCTTTTTAAACACCAAAATGGTTTCTCACAGCTCGCTGAGCTTCTCTGCCGAGGCCTGAATTGCACATTACAGAGAGAGCTGTAGGCTTTGTGGGAGATTTACTCAAATGTTATTGGATTCCAGCATTTTTATTAATTTTCATAAATGGGGGTCCTCAAGCACGCCCCCTAACGACTATTGCTAATTTGCTAAGCCCTGCTGCCATTGCCCGAACTCCTGTGGTGAGCCAGGAAAGTGTGTGGTGTGCAGTCTGCAGCACATCAAACCCTGGGCTGAAGTTATGTGACTTTTATATCAATTTGGGAGATTCATTTCCCCTTACTATAATTTACAGATCTCTTTTCATTGACTGGGATTGCAATTTGCCAAATGGATTACATTTGGTACTTTATTTTCTCTTCATAGCTAGTCCTTATGTAATTTATTTACAGTTCATCAGGCTTGATGGGTGGGTGGTAATAAATCAGCGTGCAGGGCCCTCCAGTAAATGGCCAGGCTGCTTTGAGGGGTGGGGGAGTGGCGTGTAACGCATGGTCTCCTGAGCTCTGGTTTCTGCCTGCGGAGGTGGCTGTCCCCATCGAAGGCATGCAGAGGATCCATCTGCGATTCATGTTTCGACATCAGTCATCCCTGGAATGTGAGTACAACCAAGTGGCATCTGGGGCGAGAGGAGGGGGATAGCCGGGTGGCCCATGTGTCCTCCTCTTTCCTGACCTCACAATGCTACTTCCAGCTAAAGATAAAGGAGAAAAGAACTTCGCCATGTCCTACGTGAAGCTGATGAAGACGGGACCACTCTGCAGGACGGATACCACGACCTGGTTGCCCTAAAGGTACAGTGAGTTGGAACCAACTCTGCAGTGAGGGGCTGCAGGAAACAAAGGGGACAAGGTAGGGTGGATCCGTGGTTAACAACAGGGACCCCTGGACCACACACACCACGGCTTACCAGCTGTGTGGCCTTGTACAGAAGCTAACTTCTCTGGGCCTCTGCTGCCTCATCTATGAGCCCTCAGTGAATAATTGTGAGGAGTACATGAGACAGTTTATAGAAATATGACAATGGTGGGTACATGGAACACTCAATATGTGCAAAATGTGAACTCTGAAAGGACCTGTGGGATGTGTAGACATTCGACAGACGCCTCCCTGTAGCTAATGGGGGAATAGTAGGATTTGGGGTCCCGATCCCGCTGCTGACCAAATCTGAACTCATCTCACATGTCTCCCTGAGTCTCAGTTTCCTTTTCTTCAGTGGTGATGGTGATATTTGTGACAAGCCCATGAGATGACCCTTGTGAAAGGGCCGTGTAAAGGGTACAGATGTCAGCTATCATTGTTTTTGCATCGCGAGACTTAGACTGTTTTGGAGAAGTGAGAGGCGTGGCCTTGATTGTATTGCATGCTTCCCTGCGACCCCTGTGACAGCTGGTGCCTCTGCTAGCTCCTGGCTGTAGGCAACGTTGTGGCTGCGAAACAGCAAGGCCAGGAGGTGGGCATAGGCATCAGACCCTTGCGCTGGCTTTCTCAACGTTGGAGGCTGACTTTGCTCTTTTGTGTGAGGTCCGCATGCACATACAACTTCATCAAGGCTTTATGACATGATCCTCTTCTCTGAGCCTCTCTGACTTTTCCAAAACCACCCCACTCCTTCTGTGCAGCCTCTGCGTTGTCATCTGGGACATATCAAGGTAGCTCTTGGCATAAACGCCATTCTTTCTCAACAGATTGCAGACTCACTGGGGGTAGAGTCCCAATTGCGGTCAGTTTTAAAATTACTCACCTTGCTTAAACCTCGGTTTCCTCACCTGTAAAATGAGGGTAATATAATGAGGTTAATTGTAATCGACAGTTACGATTGTTCGAAGCTTAAATGAACGGACTAAGGCACATAAAGCACTCAGTGTGACATTTAGTTTAGTTCAGAATAAGGTTCTAACACTCGTTATGCTCCCATCTACTCTTTCATTTCACATGCCAAGGGCTCACACACGTATCACTCTGAGCATGCTCTGTGCATTACTGCCATTTAGTCTGCTTGAAATGTCTAGGAAGCAGGTAACATGATGAATCCTCAGGTTCATCGTGAGAATGTGACACAGAGAGACCAAGGGATGTATCCAACAGGACACAGACCTGTGAGTGGTAGGACAGGGCCTAGATCTCCGGACTTCAGACTCCAGGGCCTTTGCTAATATCAACTTCTTCAGGCTGATTCCTTATCTCGCTGGGGCACATGTGTATTAAGATCACAGAAAAATTAGGATGAATGCAAATGTCCTATCTGGGAAATTTTCCATTTCCTTTTGCCCTTAATGTGTCCACAGAGCCTCTAACTGGCTGATCAACCCCTTTTCCATGAATGTAAACTGGGTTCCTGCCTGTTTTGGAGAAGCTGCTCTGCCTTAGCAGGTGGTCATTACTTGTGTGATGTGGCCACTGCAAGCTCAGTCTGTTGGGTGTCTACCCTTGGGTCGGGGAAGTAAACAAGGTGCTGTTTCCAGGGGGACAGCAAGAAGATGGAGGATGCCAGCGTCCAGGGGGACAGCAAGAAGATGGAGGATGCCAGCGCCTACCTGACTCTGCCTTCATATCGGCACCACATGGAAAACAAGGGGGCCACTCTGAGTCGAAGCTCCAGCAGTGTTGGGGGCTCTCCGTCAGCTCCCGGGAGAACGGTAGGTGTGTGTGTGTGAGTGTGGGTGCGCTCACCCAGAGCCTAGGTGTGTGTGTGTGCGTGTGGGTGCGTGCGTGCCTGTGTGTGTGTGCATGTGTGTGCCTGTGTGCATGCCTGTGCGTGTGTGCGTGTGTGCGTGCATATGTGCATGTGTGTACCTGTGCCTGTGCCATGCATGTGTATGTGTGCACCTGTGCCCTGTCTGCACTCTGTCCTAGTGGGCTTGCTGGGTTTGCTGAAGTGGCCTGTCTGCACTCTGTCCTAGTGGGCTTGCTGGGTTTGCTGAAGTGGCGAATGGAGAGGAGGTAGTGAAGGTCGGTATTCATCCACTAGTAACAGAGCTGGGAATCGCGAGTGGCTTTGGGGGCGGGGGGAGGAAAGTGTTGAAGGGGATGGGACAGCTTTTTCTCGTTACTGGGAAATCTGGGGATGATTTGGTCCAATGACACTGAATGTGAAGTTGCAGAAAAGTATCTTTGTGCTCAGTTTCTGGAAAATGATCAGTATGGGTGTAGATCCCAGCTCACCTGCTTGCCAACTCCATGTGATAATAGTATGAATAGGACATATTTCTCAGGGTTGTTGTGAGCATTCAAGGTGATGATATTTAAAAATTACTCAGCACAGTCTCTCACACAGAGTACCCAATAATTGAACGAAAACACACGACATATACAAAGTTCATTAAAAGGTAACTATTAATTTTGTTGTCATAAAGTACTGTAGCAGTATGATCTCTTAGTGCTACCTACACATTACTGACAGTACTGTTGGTTTCCACAGCATTATGCTTTAAACACGAGAATGGGAAGGACACCAGGGCTCACATTTTAAGTGAAACAAGCAGAAAAAATGCAAATGCCAGCTGTATTGTCATGTCCATACAGCGTCTGAAGTTCAGGTCTAATTAAAGCCACTAAAGCCACCCTCGTCTCTGGCACCATGACTTGGGCGAGTGTTTCCTGGAGGTCCCAGTGAGGGTAATCTTGTTTCCACCAGGAACTTGGTGCAGCTAGAAGCTCCGAGATTCAGCATCTTTATACGGTCGCTCTGTGTTTTGAGGACTCTAGGAAATACTGACCCGCCCCTTAGGAGGGAGGGGTAACACACGTTAGATTTCCCATGCATGCAGAAACATGGTTGAATGTCCAGATCAGTTCTTTAAATGGTTGGTATCGACCTGCCTACCTGGTTCACCGACGGCAGAGAGGTTCCCCAAACAGCCTTTCATAGGGTCTGTCACTTTTGAGCAGCTTAGAGAAGACATCTGGAGTGCATTCCACTGTCTCCTTTTTGCATTATTTTTTAAAGTTTTTTTAAATTGAATTATAATGCATAAACAATAAAATATGTACAGAGCACTTATTCTAAAAGTACAATTCAACGTATAGGGTGGGGCAAAAGAAAGTTTACAGTTGTGAGTATGCAAAACACACAGTTTATTCTTGTACTATTATTTATTAATTAGTATATTATCTTCTATAAAATAACTGTAAACCTACGTTTGCCCTTCCATGCATTATTATACATGTACATTCTACCCACTACCTAGATGAAGATACAGAACATTTTAGCATTGTGGTAGGTTCCCTCATACCCTTCTCAGTCAATACTCACCGGGGATAACCACTTAGCTGACTGCCATCACCATTGATGGGCTTTTGTCTATTCTTGAATTTCATAAAAATAGAGTAATACAGAATGTACATGTTTGTGGACTTATCTCACTGCACACAATGCTCAGGAGAAGTAGTTTGGCTCTTTTTTTATCACTGTGCTTCTGTTGGTGGACAGGTGGGGTGCTCCGAGTCCTGGTTCATGTGAACTTGGACCCCTTGACCATGGCGCATGGTGGATGTGTGCTCTCAGTCTCTGTGGTCTACACTGAGAAGTGGATTTCTGAGTCACCTACACTCTTTCTTAATGCGCCCTTCATTATTTTGTCCAGATTCTCCAAATACTCTGGATGCCCTCTTCAACATCATGATGGAGCATTCTCAGAGTACGAGTATGACATCCTCGTCTTTGATGCTTTGGTAAGGGAGAGGATGGGTTTGTGGCATAGACATCAATGTGTGTCTCACTGAGAGAACCCTGAGAACGTCTAGCTCTTGTGGCCCTTTTCATGACTCTTTTGGAGGAATTGTCACATTAGGCAACCAGGCCAATGAATGAGCTGCTGTTCCCTTTCATTAGCTTGGAGTGGATGCCTGGGCAGAATGCGTGAAAGGGGAATCTTCAATGTTGATGTCAGAGTGGCACTGGGTGAAGTACATGAAGCTGGATACCATGAGTAACCGAGTTGGCTTTCCATGAATGCAGGGAGCTGGTCTCTGGTCAGGTTGTGAAGGACCCACAGTGTATCTTAACTATCCTTTCCCTTCTTTTTCTTCATAGTTCCAACTCACCAGAGCACTACGCTCACTCTTTCTACCCAGACCTTTCATGGGGGTATGCCATCCAGATCTTTCTCCTTTCCCTCTTTCCAAATGGTCTCTTCCTTCTCTTGCTGTCCTAATTCACGTTCCTCAGTGTCATGTCAAATAAACATAAGAAACATTTGAATTAGGGGATATCAGTGACCAGCAGAGTGTTAATGTGTTAATCCCTTATGTCAGTGACATTTATGTTTATGAAGAGGTTGCTTGGAGACAACTGTGACTTAGAGCTTCCAAGAGGGCCTGGAAAGCTAGCTCGAAGGAAAGATGTTCTCTGACAAAAGATCCTTTGTTCAACCACTTAGGGAAGTGCTGAACATTGCATGGCCTCTCGGAGAGTCATGATGCACATAGATATATTAAAGACTCTGATAAGTCCTGCAATAAAGAAGGCAGTCTAAGGATGACAACCTGAGATTTCCCAAACTTATCTCACCAAGAAACCTATGTATCTTTTATAATGCTCTGTAGCACACTGCATGAAACACTTTTTAATGAAAAGGACTAAAGATATATTAGCGAGCTAATTCCTGGGTAAAAATTTTTGCTAGGGGTTCGGTTATGCCATGTGACTATGGCTTCCTGCCCTAGGTCTGTCCAAACACTGATTCTTTGTCTTTGCCTTAGATTGCTGACTGGAAATTCCAGCATTTCAACACCGTTCTGGAGGCTTACGTTCTGGAGGCTTACATTCAACAGCATTACAAGCAAGTGACTGTGTGCCTCCTGCTTGCCCTGCCAGGATGCCTGTGTGCCTCCTGCTTGCCCTGCCAGGATGCCTAGGGCACAGTGTGAGTTCTCCCTTTTTTGAGAAAATCCAATTTGTTCCTGAATACAGTGGCAGAAGTACAATAGGCAAACCCATCGGTTGAGGTGCATGGAAGTCTTCCTTGCAGAAGTACATGGAAGTCTTCCTTCCTTTCATTTCTGCCTTTCATTTCCTTTCCATTCCTTTCCTTTCCTACTATCAGTAGCTACTTGTGATAAACATTGGGATTCAAAGGCTACAATTCCTTTTGTGATAAACATTGGGATTCAAAGGCTACAGAGGAGACAGGCACATGCTCATTGGATCACTATAGTTTGGGTATAGACAACTGAGGGTCACAGAAGGGAGATGATGCTGGGAGGTTGGTGGAAGCCAGTTTGTGTAGGGGCCTTGGAAGGAGATCAAGTAGTTTGAAGTCTGCCTTGCCGGAAATGAAGAAACATGGAAAGTTCCTAATCAAGGGAGTTCCATGATATAACAAGAACATTTTCAGCAGGAAAAAAAGCTGAAAAAGACATTATCACCGCCATTATTCCCAATCATATTCTAATTGTGACTAGTTTTTCTAGTCAAAGATTTTCCTTCCTCACTAGTTTTTTTTTCTGGCTTTTTAGAGGCAGGAAATAATTATTCACTCTCTGTATTAAATATAATTTTAAGCAGAGTTATTTTTGTGGTTGTAAATGAGTAAGCTTGGCTGTACCACCACCTTTAACCTTTGATTGAAAGCCTTATAATTTACTGAGCAAAGGAATTACCATGCCGTGGGTTGGGAAGCAACGTATTTTGAAAATATAATCCCTTACTCAGGAAACTGATGACGGTGCTGAAGACTTACTTGGATACCTCCAGCAGAGGGGAGCAATGCGAGCCGATCCTCAGAACCCTCAAAGCTTTGGAATACGTGTTCAAGTTCATCGTTCGGTCGAGGACATTGTTTTCTCAGTGAGTACTTGCTCTGTGAGGGTGATTGATTGGCTTTGCAATTCTCTGGGATACAACATTGTGCACGGGAGACACTCTCTTACAAAATGACCACCAGCCTCCCATCAAATACAAATCAAAAACCCAACACAGAGAGTTAGGAATAGGTAATAATTGTTCCTTGTAAGTTTATTTGGGAATAGAAGAAATCTTAGCATGTTGTAGAGTCATGCTCCATCCAATGAACACAATTGGTGATTTGAGGCTCTTCAGCGCTTCATATGATCAGGTTGGTTGTGTGTGATGGGATACAAGAGGAAAACATACTGGGAATGTATTGTCCAGATTCTTAACAGTTCAAATGAAGAACATTCAACTCAAACTGACTTATGGAGAAATAGGACTTTATTATATTTCACATTATTGGAAATGCCAGCCTCAGGCATGGCTGGATCCAGATGCTTAATGTCATTGGGGTAGTCTCTAGACATTATGACATAGGGGATCTGAACATGTAAAGTCAGAGACAGTGTTCACCTGTTTTCCAAAGGTGGCTGCACTATCTTACATCTCCACCAGCAATATATATGTGAGTCGGTGGACCCACATTCTCTTTAGCTCTGGGTGTTGTCCTATTTCTTCAGTTTTGCCCCTCCCCCCCCAAAAGACTGTAGAATGTCATTCCTCTTTAAGTTACATTCACTTGACCACCAGTGATGCTGAAGATCTTTTCTTATATTTCTTTGCCACTTGCATTTCATGTATGTGGCATATCTGTCCATTCTTTTGTGCATTTTTCCATTGGTTTGGTGTATTTCTCTTACTGATTTGCAGGATGTTTTATATTCTCCTCATGCTCATCTTTTGCTGGTGTATGTATTACAAATATCTTCTCCCTATTTCTACACTTATAACTTCTTTTTTTTACTTAAGATATAGTTTTCCGACAGAAGTTTTTATTTTTAATACAAGTTTATCAATCATTTTCATTGTCAAATTTTTTGTGTCTTGTTTAAGAAATCTTTCTCAACCCCAAAGTCGAAAAGATTTTCATTTATATTTTTACTAAGAATTTTATATTTTTAATAGTCATAAATCAATCTATAGCACTTACATTTATACAAAACATATATGGTGTGAGGTAGGAATCTGATTTTGTCTTTCCTTCCATTTCAAGTATGGGGCAGTCTCTCTCTTCTCCATGCCAGTGTCATTTTGCATTTCCAGGACATTGCTCTTCCCTGGAGACTTGAGGGCAGGGATTCCATCCCTGGTCCCAGAGTGCATGCGGTTCCTCTGTGCTAGGTGAAAGCTGAAGGGGGGCGGCCAGCCACCTCCCTGCTGAGGCATGCTCACTGCACTCATGGTGTTTGAGCTGCGGTTAATATATCAATACTTGCTCGGGAGGGTATTTGGCTCGGAACAGGTCCCTGAGACGCCGGCAGATCATTTCTTCCCTGTAGCAGTCTTCGACGGAGGGGTTGCTGGTTGCTAGCTGCTGACACGAGGCAGTGGGAAAAAAAGCCCTGCTTCTCCCACGAGCACTTGAGTCTCAGACTTGGCACGGTATGACGTTGTCAGTGCCTGGTGCGGTCCCCATCACTCACTGTTGACCTGAGTTGCTCACTCACTCCACCTCCTCTAGAATTTGCTCCTATTCCCACCCCTCAGCGGGAAGCCCCTGGAGGTCAGGCTAGTGCTAGGAGGGGTGGAGCTTGGTAGCTGAGAGCATGGGCCCAGGCTGCTGGGATGAGCCCTACTCTCTGGCTAGAGGCACACCCTGAGCAGGCTCCCTGCCCTCTCAGGGCCCCAGACATCCCTCTGGGAGGGAGGAGGAGGAGGACAGAAGAGCTGTAAGGATTAAACAACGTCATACACGCAAAGCAGTTAGCAAAACGCCTTGTGCGCAGTAAATTCGCAGTAAAGGTTGGCTGTTAATCATTGTTTTCATCCTTCAATAAATATCTGGTGACTCTTGGATCCTATCACATGCCCCAAGTTCTCAAGGACGGGACTGCGCCCCTGATTTCTTCTATAGTTCTCTGTCTCTCTTCTAACAGGGGGGCAACGAGGGGGGGGGCGTGGGAGGGGGGGCGGGGAGCCTCAGGAAAGGCTCCCTAAAATCTGCACTGCGTTGCAGAAAAAACTGATCTCCCTCTTTCCGCAGGGTGTTCATCTAAGTGTGCTACATCAGAGGCTGGGTCCGGGACAGGGCTCATCGGTGAAAATGCAGGACGACGCTTCTGTCTGTGATCTGGTTGGGAAGCAGCTTTGCGGACTAGAGGCAGGCAGCAGTTCTAAGTGATCAATCGATCAGTTGTGAACAATGTGTTCCTTAGAATACTATCGAAGCTTTCAAATGGTTAGTTTAAAAATTAGAACAATTCCCCCCCATCATGGTGTCACGTAGGGCCCTTTCCACCTGGAGCATTCTCTTGACTTGCAAGCCAGGGACTGCATAACAGCTGGGGTCCCAGCTTTGGCGTAGCCCTGGGTATGCCCATGCAAGTGTGTTATGCATGAGGGCATTCAACAGCAAGTGTGGAGCCACGTGGGTTGGGAGGGGGAGGGGCATCTCTGCAGTTCACGGGACAAGACTAAGGCGCACAGGTCAGGACAGAGCAGCCACAGTACAGGAACCTCGGCTCCAGGCTCTGCTGTAAGCACTTGATGTGCACGCCCTCATTTAATCTTGTCAGCGATCCTGAGAGGCAGGTGTCTTAGCTCATGTTCCCTAGAAGCAGAGCCGGAGCTTTGCAAGCAACTGGATGAGGAAGTGCCGCAGGAGAAAACCTTCAGGAAGTGAGGGAAGCAGGGCTAAGGACAGAGGAGGGAGCCAAACAAAGACGTAGCTGCAAAAAGCTAGCCTCAGCCCTGTTAGGTCGGAGAGAGCCCAGGATTGGATACATGCAGACATGTGATGAGACAATGGACTCCCCTGGAATTTCTCACAGATCAACGTGCCAGACACAGATACCGGCTTCTCCCTGAATCCACATACCCCACACAGATGCTGACTCATTCCTGAATACCTTGCTGACCCCCTTGCAGCTGAAGCTTCCTCAACTGAATACCTCAGCTCATGTCCCCGCCCCTCACCCAACCGCAGTATTAAAAAAGCGCCCCCCTCCCTATTGGCGTGAATCCACGTGCCCTGTCTTTGGGGGTACGTGGGTCTCCCGGGGACGCAGAATAAACTTTCCTTTCCTTTCTTTTCTGATTCACTGGACTCTATTTCTTGCGCCGCTCCTGATCCACCTAACCTAACAAGCCCCATCCATGGGAATACTGGCATGTGAATGGCACCACAGACCTGTTCTCACCAGTGGCAGCGGGGCTGGGCTTCTGTTCTCTTGTGTCAATCAGTCATTGGCCATCAGTCACACCTCCCGGGAGAAGATGGGGCATAACTTCCCATGCCTTTCTGGGAGAGGAACTCCCCTATTCCAAGGCAGCCTTGAGCTATGAGCACCCAAACCTCATGGCATCTGAGGACTGTAAGGGAGGATTGGGTGGGACACCAACAGCCTCCATTGTACAATTCATAGACCCATTTTACAGTGAGGCCTACAGTGTTTTATGTAATCTGAGAGTGGTGTCTTAGCAGGGCCTGAGCTTTTGCATATGATTGGCTGTATAGAGCCAGGAGTCAAACCCAGGTGTCTATCTCTAGTGCCTTTGGTCTGTGCCCCAGTCAAGGGCCAAATAAGAGCAAGTAAACCAGAGCTAGAGGAGACATGAGCTCAGGAGGCCTGGAAACAAAGTTAAAGGTCATGAGAGGAGCCCAAGGGGCAAGATCATAATTTAGGCTTCTGTGGTGTAACCAACTCATCCCACTGTGCCCAGGACTTGCCCCATTAGTGAGAGGAAGCAAGCCAGAAAAAGCCCCTGGCAGGAGGGTATCCTGGCCGGGAGCTGAGCAGAGAGGGTGGTCTGAGATCCAGGGTGGGCTAATGAGAGGCAGTTACCAGCCCCCTGAGGCCTCCTCGGGGAGCCTGCCAGAAATAGATACCCTCCTCCAGCAGAAATAGATACCCTCCTCTTTTGCTGTGTGTGCACGGAGGGTGGGAAGGGGGGAGAGAGAGAGAGAGAGAGGGGGCAGAGAGAGGGTGGGAAGGGGGCAGAGAGAGAGAGAGAGAGAGAGAGGGAACGTTTGTTTCAGTCCAATGAGTAAATCGCCCATCCACAGATAGGGCTGGGCTAGGTGAGATGGGCTCCTGAGCTAGGGCTGGGCTAGGTGAGATGGGCTCCTGAGCTCTGTAAAGGTCTGGATAAAATAAACATATGTATATGTGTACATAGACATGTACTCATGCATGTCCACACACACACCTTCTAGCCAGAAAAATAAATGTGATCTCTACCCTCTAGATCAGCGGTTCTCAACCTGTGGGTAGCGACCCCTTTGGCGGTCGAACGACCCTTTCACAGGGGTCGCCTAAGACCATCCTGCATATCAGATATTTACATGACGATTCATAACAGTAGCAACATGACAGTTATGAAGTAGCAACGAAAATAATTTTATGGTTGGGTCACAACATGAGGAACTGTATTTAAAGGGCCAGAAGGTTGAGAACCACTGCCATAGATGCTTAGAGTTTTATGAGAGAGGTAGACATTAAAGAAATAAAAACACAAACTGACACATGAAATTTTAGTAGAGTGTGACCGATGCTGTGGGGGATGCAAGCCCAGAGCTCTAGTAGAGACCTGCTGGGGCAGGGGCAGGGCAGGGCTTACTTTTTATGGTCAGAAAGGTCTCCCTGAGGATGCAAAATGTAGTCAAGAGAATCAGCCAACTACAGAGGGGTGGGTGTTGGAGGGCAGGAGATGGAGGAGTGGAGGAGGAGTGTTTTGAGCAAAGGGAGCAGCAAGGATAAAGACATTGGGTCAAAGAAGACTTGAACCTGAACGGAAAGAAAGCCAGTGTGGCTGGAGCACAGGGCCGGGAGAGGCCTGAGCCGGTCACAAAGCGGCATAGGAGCCCATTGGGCTTCATTCCCAGGTCAGTGGGAGCCACTGGAAGATCTTAACACAGGTGTGTGACACGATCTGATTTATGGCTTAAAATGTCCTCTTGGCTACTCTGTGTAGAGGCGATGGAGGGGCAAGTGTGGAAAGAGAGGGGTCAGGTTGTTGTTTTTTTTGTCTGCAAAGCCTCTGGAGGGAGACCAGTGGATCTGCCTTCACGGTGGCCCAGAGCTTTGCACACTTAGAGAGACTGCATTATTAATGAAACATTTGCATCTGAGAAAACAATAAAACAGGCTGCTACATGTAAAAATCAAGTGACCCAATTTGTTTTAGCAGCTTGCGCTCTAGTACAGCAATTTGTTTGGCACATACACGGGACTCCATCTGAGCATCCTGCCTGATAATGCAGAGGCAAATAAAATGGTAAAACAATAATTAATACAAAGAAAGGATCACATCTAGCATCAGGGCTTCCTAAAGTTTTATCACTATGATGATAAAAAAAGGGAAGATTTTACGGGCTATATAAGGTATGTAAAGCCCACAAAACACTTTCTTACATTTTGAGAAACTTTTGAAATATAACATTATCTTTTAAATACAAATAACTAACATTTCTTATTACTGTACATTTGAACCTTACTCGTATAGTTGATCATTTCATAACCAAAGGACTTTAAAGATTATTGACATTGTACACCCTTTGAAATATTTTATAGCTTGGGAAAATTAATAGGGCAACATGTTGCCAGATTTGTTTTCAGGAAATAAATAAACCTGTTAAAACATAATAAAATATTAGAAAAACGTAAGTTTTAAAACCTGAAGATCATCCAGCGTGGCTCTTTCTTTAAAAGAACTTAATACATGGAAGTCTGCATTTATCCAAAATGAACATTTACTTTAGCCAAGGATTCTCCCGACTTTCTTCGATAGGGTTATTTATATACCCAGTTCCCTAGTACAATTCTGCTTGAATTACAGAAACTACATCAATACATAAATTCTCAATGAAGAAATAATGATACAAGTGAGGGACACATATTGTCATAGGTGAATGAAGCAATTAAAATTTCAGAGGGTAGCAAATACCCCAAACTACCTATTTGATGTACTTTTAATTTGTTTTGTGTAAACTGATTAATACATTTCAGCATTTTTCACTGAAGATTAAGAATAGTTATTTCTTTTACAAGTTACTTGACTTTGATCCCTCAAAGAAAGTTTATAGAACCTCCCATATAAATCAATGAGTTGCATTTTTCATCCATTCATCAAACTTGACTTTAGTGCTTAACATGTCCCAAGCACTATGACACTTGCTGGGAGAAACCACAGTGAGTAAAACTTATATAGGCCTTTTATCCTCAAAGAGCCTATCGTTCAGTGAGGGAGGCAAACATAAATTAAACAAATTACTACAATCTATTGTAATGTTCCAAAAGCTAAGCACAGGGTGCTATGAACTGTATATAGAAGACTTGCCCCAGGCTAAGGCATCAGAAAAGGGGTCCCAGAGGGAGTGATATTTGAGCTGAGACAATGCTCGTAATATTAGCCACCATTTACTGACATTTAAAAAGTATTAGCTCATTAAACCACACAATGGCCTATTGAATTAGATACTTTATCTCATTTTGTCCTTGAGAAAACTGAAGCTAAGATAACCACAACTAGGAAGTAACAGAGCCTGCAATTGAATCCAGATGCTAACTCCAGAACACACATTGTATTCTTAACCATCAGTCATAGGCCCTCTCCAAAGAAAAGGATGAGACAGAGCATAGTAGTCTGCTCAGGAACAAAATACTTAAGAAACATAAAGTTGATTTCTCACAGTTCTGGAGGCTGGGAAGTCAGTTTCTGGTGAGGGCTCTCTTCCTGGCTTGCAGATGTTGCTGTCTCACTGTGTGTTCACATGGCCTTTCTTCTGTGCTGCACAGAGAAAGGAAGATCTCTCCCTCCCTCTCCCCCATTTCTTATAAGGTTACCAATCCTATTGAATTAGGGCTCCACCCTTATGACCCTATTTAATTGCAATTACTTCTTAAATCCCTTATCTTCAGATACAGTCAATTGGGTATTAGGGCTTCATCATATGAATTTGGGGGTGGGGGACACAATTCTGTCTATAGCATAGAGTAAACTAGTAACTAGTAGGAGGAAAGTATTCCAGATGACAGATAACTATGATATCACATGACTAAGAGTGTCGATTATAACAGATATGTGTGTTTGGCCACTCTTCTAGCTGAAACTAACCATCTCTACCAACAGAATCTAATTTCTGTAACAAAGACCCTCCCTTCAGATAAAATATTTGCAAATACTGTCACCTAGTGGTAACAGGCAGGAGGTAGCTTATGGGTGAGTATTACTGAACAGGTATATTCAGCTGCTTACCTGGGGGTGCTGATATTTATCAATCTCCCCCTTTTATTAAATTTTTAGACAGAGGAGAAGGGGGCAGGGAGAGAAAGAGAGGAGAAGGGGGGAGAGAGAGAGAGAGAGAAAGAGAGAGAGAGAGAGAGAGAGAGAGAGAGAGAGAGAAAGAGACACATCCATTGGTTGCCTCATGCATGTACCCAGTCTGGTACCCAGACTGGGGATGGAACCCACAACTGAGGTACATGCCCTTGACTGGGAATTAAACCTGTGGCCGATGCCCTGACCACTGAGCAACTGGTCAGGGCTCAATCTCCCCTTACTGTGTGTGCTCCCAAGGTGTTTTTCCTAGGAATAACATTCAAAAAACTAAACAGAAGGAAGGTTTACAACATCAAGGTATTTACTCACACACACACACACACACACACACAAGTAGTGTGACAGTTTCAAGCTCTCAGAGAAAGAACAGGAGCCTAAGTTTAATCCCATCTCATTTTGAGTCAGACCAGATAAATTTGGGCCAACATAAGAGTAAGTAATATAGATCATCAGTGAATATGTTTTATTCAGCAGTGTAGATATGAGTCACTGTACAGGATAAAGAGCCTCAACTAGTTGAGGTAATGTCAGAAAATAAAAGAAATGTGTAATGGGCACTGGAACATAGGAAAGT